AGCTTCTTACAAGCCCCACGGACACCTTCGTAGGTCTTACCCTCGCAGTACAGTGCTGCCTGGCAATACCGCTCCCGCAGCTTGTGATTGCCAGTGTTTGTCCTCCCGCAGCCTCCACTGGCTGATCGAGACTATTCGTGTGCCCGCAATCTGCGTACTATGCGTAGGGGACACCAGCAGGCCATAGAGATGACCATAGCACGATGCTTGAGGTACGGAGTGTTCAGATGCTGCCTAATGGCCGGTCCGTGCTCGGGATGTGATGCACGCATTGCTCCTTCCCTGTACGCATGAGTAGGTGCACTATCTATACACGTCCGAGTCGGGCCTAGTGTTTGGGACATCAATATTGTAAGTAAGAAGCTGCGGCCTTGCTTTTCTCTCGCGCATCAAGCAAGCGCCTTGCGTTGCTCAAGCACTGACATTTGTACCTCTCTTTTCAGGCTCAAGTAGAGCAGTAGGCTCACACAGGTTTCTCAGAGGCTAATCTGGCGCAATCCACTAGAGTGGGTTAGATCCCTGTAATAACTGTTTGTTTACTGTTTATAAACTGTTTATAAACGTTTACAACCATTTACTGTGTGTTTACAAAAAAAGTTTACACGTAAACTAAACGGTTGGAGCCTTACTGGAGAGGCTTGGAAATCCAAGAGAGAAAAAAAAAAACGAACCACGACGCCAGCAGGATTCGAACCTGCGCCCCGAAACGGGAATTGATTTCTAATCAATCGCCTTAACCACTTGGCTATAGCGCCTTAGTATCGCATCTGATTTTGCTTAGATAATCAGAACATTAGCGCCAAGCTTGACCTTCGCATGCGGAACGCGGCCAGCTTTCCTCTCAACCTCGACGACCTCTGGGCCAAGTCTCTCCGCCTCCCTGTCGATGGCCTTCATCGCTCCAGGTCCCCAGTATCTTTCCAGACTCGCCTCCATCCACGCCAAGTCTGCTGTTTCCAGCCAACATCCGACCATCCCCTACCCTGGGGGTGCGACCTAACCCTAAGCAATTATTGGGTAGTTCTACGTCTTCGCCTTTGCTTGTTGGCCGGGGTTGGGAATGTGTCGCAAAGACTCGAGCAGTGGTTTCAAATGCTACTATTCGTGGAGACCAAGGTAGTCGGTGGCGCAACCAAGGGGGCTGAGTCGCGCGAAATGGTCCGTGTCAAGACGCGTCTTTTGCCGAAAGATGCTCTCGTTTGCGATGAACTCGACCATAACACGCTTCTATCGCATCTCCGGAAAGTGTTTCGATTCCAACAACGCGTCCAAGTTCTTCCACCGCCCGTACAGGTCTCTGCTAGCGTGGTCTCGGGATCCCGATCCTCCTTGCAGATACGAGCCTGTGCCACGCACAGAAGACCGTGTATACGCGTCTTCCTAGCATGGGCTGTCTGTTGGTTGAGAGAGGGAAGACCGCGTCGGAAAGCACGAGATCAAGCGGTGGTCGTAGCGAAGCGACGGTCGGATAGAGGCACCAGAGACGCGTCGCGGACACCTTATTGGCGTGTTCTAGGTCGAGGGAGCGAGCTACGTACAGTCTAATGGCGACGTCCACTATATTGGACGTTTTGACATGGAGATGGGCCACGCACAGCTTTCACAGCTCACTCTGCCCAGCACTGCTCCCTTCCGGATTATTGCTCCCTAAGCTACCGATTTATCTCTCCGCGATCGTGGAAGCTACGCGCGCATTCACTGTACCTCCCCGCACCGGGTGACACCGCTGCGCAAAGACAAGTTTTCCGTACAGAAACGTAGATGCTGCCCGGGTGCGCCTCACGGCGTGCCTCATCCGCGAGCCGGCATCAGGCCCAAGCTCAACCCCGGCGACGTTTTATGCGTGTATTCTGCTCGCCGCAGGCTGCTCTTCTCTTTTTGTGCTGCTCATAAACTTTCCAAGGGCATCTAGCATGAAAAGGTGGAGATGGGAGTCTGGAAGCGCTGGCATGCGCAGCTAAATCTGCATGGCTACGCGGCTGGACGCGGTGTGGGCACCATGGAGGACCGAGGCTGTGGACGATACGATAATGGGCACGTACAGACAGGCGGCGGACGAGCTTTGCTAGGATGAGGTCCAGGTTACAGGCGCAGGTACGTTCTCGTTTTCACGGGGAGTATCTAATATCCGGCCTGGCAGCTATTACTCGGTGCAGACACAGTGGCGACCCCCAGTCACTTGCCCTTTCATTGCACAGAAAGGCAGGCCACGTTCAGTCCGCTGTGCGGTAGTAGACTGGTTCCCACATCTTCGGGCCTCGGCTTCCTATAGCGACGCGTTGGGCGTGCGATTGCGCCAGCTTGCCGATCTACGCTGTTGTCCTGGTGTTCCTCTTCAAGTGTGCGTATCTCGTTTTCTCGCTCGGTCGCGAAGACACGTTTTTCGGGCAACGCCTCCCTGCATGTGCTTGCTCTTCAAAGCGTCGGTGGGAAAGACTCAATTTTGCCAAGTAGTCAGGTTCTGCTAGAGCCTCTGGGGCGGGTCCAATCTCGAGTGTTCCTCCCCTCGTGTAGGTGCTCTGCGGAGGCTACGAGTTCGATGGTCTGACTCCCTAAGCTGCCCGAGCAGTTGTGGTGCCCACGGGCTGCCACAACAGAGATTCGTTCTCGAGTGCGAGGGCTGGCGAGCGCGCGCAGTCTTATTGTTGGCTCCTATGTCGATGTGGATTCCATCTGTGCGAGGCGGCTGAGGTCCGCAAAGGGTGGACAGACGTCTTGGTGGTTAGGAATCGTGGCGCAGCAAGTGGGTGCCGATGGCATTTTTACACACAGGAAGACAAGTTGCATGCAGGTGGTTGCGTTCAGAAACGTCGAGCGGCCCATACGGCGAGGACGCCACTGTTATGGTGGCGAGGGGTGCGCAGACAACTACGCACAGAGCACCGCGCCAAGGAAGCAGCTAGTCTGTAGGCTTCGCACACCTCCGTCGCACGCGGGACATGCCGTGCTTGGGGACGTGGACAGGCTTGCCCTCCGAAGCCTTCGGGCACTAGGACGGGTGGACCTGTGATGGAGCAGGGGCCAGTAGAACACATGCAGTCGCGGTTTTGCCCTGGGTCTCATTCAATTAGGTGAGCTGGGGACGGCTGGGCGTGGTGGGGGAAGAGTTTGCGCTCGACCGGGCCGACGAGCGAGCCGTTTCTTCGAGAGCGTTGCTGTCGTGCTGTGTCCGGGTGGCTGTCTCAATTTTTGGATTTTCATTGTGCCTTTGTGGTACATTTGACATCATTAGACATTCGACATTTTTATCATACTAAGGTACCTTCGACGCCGCTCACTTCTCAAGTCGAGCACTGATACTAATGAAGACCACCAGGGTTCTCACGTCTAACACGACTTCTGGCGAGCAAGTTTCGCGGATTGCGGGAGATAAATGTACAGCCAGGGACTACAATGTTGTTATTTCGATTTATTGCTCGGTGAAGGTAATAAATCGACGGATAGCAATACGGCTCTCAGGGACAGGGGCTGTGAACGATTTGAACTTCATAGTAGAAGCAGCCGGGCACGATCCGTGTGCTTCTATCGTGAGGCTGACATCCCTCCCAAATCTCACGGATGCTTCGCCTGGGGTACATAGGCCCTGCCAGTTACTTCCCTGACGTCCAGTTTACCTTGCACCCGCACACACACACCTGCACCCAGAATTCCATACCTATAGATCATGCCTCGCTTCGTCTCTATTCGCAATATCCTTCGCGGGCCGAAGATTCCCATCGTGGAGGTAGAGCCAACCTGGGAGTGCGATCCGTTTGCCATGGACGGCGACTCTTTCATCCCCCCTCCCGAGATCCCAGCGGTCTGGGAGGACGGTTTCACCAAGCCGCCCCCAAGCCCGCGCCATGACTTTGGCCCAACTGCACCGAAACGCTCGGAGGTCCCCCTTGCGTCTCTGCACGCCCGCCAGGGCCTCATCTCTCTCGCGGAGGCGCGGCGCACCTCCGGGATCGTCTACCACTCTATCAACTCAATCTCACAGCCGTCCTCGGAACTGCCCAAGTCGCCCGAGTCTCCGAGTTGTGACCTCCTGATGATGCCCGTTCCCCCAGCCGTCGATACTGGGCGCCGGGATATCAAGTATCGTCGGGAAGACTTCAAGATGATGGAGGCGCGGATGCGCATTGCGGCGGTGCGTGCTGGCTACCTCTGATTTCCCTCTCTTTTCTCTGCTCTTCGCCTGAGCAAAGGATCCGAGGACGCGGTGAGCCGGGCCTTCGGGCTCTGGGAGGCTGACCTCCCGGATGCTGCGAGCTGGCCGGTCGGTGGAAGTCGACGGAAGTGCGCAGCCGTCGATGGAAGCCGACCAGTGGGTGAGTGGCTGACGGGTCGTCACCGGCGTCGTGCTCGTGCGTGTTTGGTCCGGTGGGGGCCGAAGGCGGGCGGAAGTGCGCAGCCGACCGCTGGAGGTTTTCTCTGGGCTGAGGGCGAGCGGGTGTGGGGTCGGCGTCCTCTCCCCCCTCCTTCTCTTTCTCTTTTCGTCTTAATACTCCAAAAACAAATCTTGCAAAAATACGTCTCGATTTTCTCTTTCTGTTTTTGTAAATTTTCCGTCGTTTTCAGCTTCAAATCACACCTATAATACTCTGGACCATTCGGGGTCCGGGGCCACCCTCTCCACTGATACTTTCTTGCCCCTCCAGGCCAGCCATTCATGCCCTTCACACCCACAGCCCGGTCGACTCTGGACCGCTGGAGCTCCGCGGTACGCTGAAGGCATGCGCGACGGTCCACAATGTCGTGCATGCCTCGAGAATCGAGTTCCATCTCTTGTACATGTATGCACTGATGCCTCAGCTCCCAGGGTCCTGGAACGAAGAGGATTGGGCGACGGTCTGGCCAGTCGCTCGCCCAGTCGGCGGTGCTATCGGGCGGAGATGTGGGTTTCTAGTCTGCTTCAGCTGCGGACAGCGGCTAACACGACTGCGATAGACCCTTTGGTCCTCTGGCACCACCCCGAGGGAGGGACGGCCGTGGCGTGAAGATCCTAGTCTGCGGCTGTCCTGGCGCAGACCTTTTCGTGGTCCTCGGGATTAGTACTCGCGTTGTCGAGGAACTAACGTGCGATTTCATGGTTTTGCGACGTCGCGCGCGATAAATTGAACCTAGTGGTTCGGAATTTTGAAATACTAAATTACACTAGTACACCAAGCTCGCAATGAGACCTGGCAGGTCCTGGGTTGAATGGTACAACGGGGAAATGAGCTTGCATGACTATCTAACGCAATCACCTGGCAAATGCGTACGCGTAGTTGTAATACTCGTCAAGTCCCATACACCGAAGTCGATATTCATAGCGTCGCCGCACGGCGTGCATGCGGGTATTGCCGCGCCACGACGCTCCTGTGCGCAGTCTCAAGTCTGCGTCTTTTCATTGCGAAGCACTCCGCGCCATTTGAAAGGACATACACGCGCGAACATTTGTTGCAAAGCGTTAGAAAAGCACTGGGAAAGCATCTAGACACAACAGCAGCGTACTACGTCGCCGTTACTTTTGGGGGTATGCGTGCCAGCCGGCAGCACAGGCAGAGATACAGTCCGTCGCGCTCTCCGTCTAGTCGAAGAATAATGGTAGGAAGCACTGCTGCCTACTGCTGGATGTCGGGGCGCAGAGAACGGACGACCTTGCCGGCACGCCAGATCTCCTGGTCGTCGATCTCCTTGAGCTCGCGCGCGAGGTCCTCGCGGTACGTCGAGCGCGAGTTGTACTCGAGCGACTTGCGCGTCTCGGTGCCGTTCTTGACGCTCTCGTACAGCTTCTCGAAGACGGGTATGTTGGTCTTCTCGAAGATAGGTGCCCAGTCGAGGGCACCTCGGCGCGCGGTGGTTGAACACGCGTTGTACATGTAGTCCATGCTGAAGAGAGAGAGTTAGCGCGTGCATACGCCGAGAAAACGTATAGCCGCTTACCCATACTGGCCGATAAGAGGGTAGAGCGACTGAGTCGCCTCCTCGACGGTCTCGTTGAACGCCTCAGACGGTGAGTGGCCATTCGCACGGAGGACCTTGTACTGGGCCAGGAAGAGACCCTGGATGGCGCCCATGAGGACACCACGCTCGCCGTAGAGATCGGAGTAGACCTCCTTCTCAAAGGTGGTCTCATACATGTAGCCGGAGCCGATGCCGACACCAATGGCAACAGCCTTCTCCTTGGCCTTGCCGGTAACATCCTGCCAGACGGCGATGGACGAGTTGATGCCACGACCCTCCTTGAAGAGGGTGCGGACGGTACGACCGGAGCCCTTGGGGGCAACGAGGATGACGTCGACGTCCTTGGGAGGAATGACGTGGGTATCATTCTTGTACACAACAGAGAAGCCGTGCGAGAAGTAGAGAGTCTTGCCCTTGGTGATGAGGGGCGCGACTTTGGACCATGTCTGGGACTGGGCAGCGTCGGACAGCAGATTCATCACAATGGTTCCGCGCTTGATGGCTTCCTCGATGGAGAACAGGGTCTCGCCGGGAACCTGCAAGATGTCAACAATTTGCGACGCGTGTGAACACAACGTTCCGTACCCAGCCGTCCTCCTGAGCCTGCTTCCACGACTCACCACCCTCACGAACACCGATAATGACGTTGAGGCCATTGTCGCGGGCGTTGAGACCCTGTCCGTGGCCCTGGGAGCCGTAGCCGATGAGGGCGAGGGTGTCGTTCTTGAAGTAATCCTGGAGCTTAGCCAGGGGCCAGTCGCTCCGCTCGTAGACGACCTCCTTCGTGCCAGCAAAGTCGAGTGTCTTGACACCACGAGTTTGTTGCTGCAAAGAAGGCGCAGATTAACATCTCATCACCTCGAAAGCAAACCATTCGCCTACCTGGACAGCAGTGGCCTTCGATGGCACCGCCGAGACCGTGCGCGCAAGGAGAGAGTAGGACGCACGCTGCGACTTGGTCGCGACGTTGGCGACGCTGCGAGGAGCGCGACGGGAAGCGGTACGGAGGGCCTGAGCAGAGCGAGAGGCGAAGGACATGGTGGTTGAGGGTGAGACGTGGAAGTGACTCAAAAAACCTTTTGAACGTAACGTTCGAGTCAAGCCCACCCCTACAGCGCTTATCAAGACATTCAACACACAACGCTCGCGCCATTTCATCCATCCTCAGCCGAAATTCAGCCAGCCCCTTCGCGACACTGGAGTAAGCACGCTGGAATATGTCCTTTTGTACTCGCTCGTGTATAGATATTTCTGCGAGCTATGAATATCTAGGACAGTTGCTGACTTGCTGTCCGTCTGGATGGTCAGGATGGCAATCCTCATGTGACGATCTGCCAATCCGAAAATTGTTCCCACCGTCTCTTCGTGGGCAGGCGGAATGTTGGTTCTCGGAAGAGAGACTGCACTTCTACGCATGTGGAAGGACGGGACAAATCCCTGATGAAGCGACACGACAGCGAAGGCACACTCCGCGTACGTCTGTCGTCTCATAAGTACGCGCCTCTGACTCTTAGAACGCCAGCGTGGTCAACCTAGCTGGACACCTGAAGTACGCCTAAAAGTTACAACGTTGCTAAAGCGGAACAGCAGAGCCTTACGTGTTCTCGTTCCGCTCGAGACCGTTCTTAATACTTCAGAAGCTACTTGACGTTTTCACATTTTCACACAGGTATCTCCGACACCCTTCCCATGAGCCGAAGATCCGAGCCAAAATTGGTCCCTCTACGAGGATTATGGCTCCCGTCGTGCGATTCTGACTATATACCATGTGATACCACCGTCACTCAAGTCCTGAGTCCATAGTGTCATATAAGCGCCCGTGCTCAAGTAAGCCGCGTTAAAGTACAGGACAGCTCTGATCGAGGAGAGACAGGTGTGCATTACCCTACGTTAGTAGTACTTAAAATAAAGAAGGAAAAGAAAGAAAGAAAACCGAGGAGAAAGCGCATGTTTGTTTCCTCGCTGCGGTAGCGAGCAACCAGACGGTTGCCTGCCACGCGCACGCGAGTACTCATCCTGAGGACCACGGAAAGGTCTGCGCCAGAACAGCCGCAGGCTAGGATCTTCGCGCCGCGGCCGTCCCTCCCTCAGGATGGTGCCAGAGGGCCAGAGCCTGTCGCCACTACGTCAGTTTCTGCGCATCACCAGAACAAACTGGAGGTACTCACGATCTCTGCCCGATGGCACCGCCGACTGGGCGACCGGCTGGCCAGACCGTCACCCAGTCCTCGTCGTTCCGAGACCCTGTAAGCTAAGAGAAATATAAGGGGGGTGGACGATCAGAATATGCATATAAGAGGAGAGTAATTTTTTTTTCTCAAGGGGTGCATGACGTTGTGTACCGTTGTGCATGCCCCAGGCGTATCACAGCGCTCCGACGATCTAGAGTCGAATCAGGCGTACGGGGAACAGGGGGGAGGCAAGATCAGCACAACACATACGCGAGACAGAGAATAGAACTCTCGGGGAGTGCCCAACGTCGGCAACCGTCGGACACACCCCGAGCGTACCGCAGAGCTCCGATGATCCAGAGTCCAGCGCGCGCAGTGAGGGTCCTGGTTGGCTGACCTGCAGGGGCAAGAAAGCATCAGTGGAGGGGATAGCCCCGGACCCCTTGAGGTCCAGAGTATTATGCGGAGTCGCGGGAGTAGAATAGGTAAGACCCAAGAACGGTAGGAGAGGGGGACCGAGACCGAGACCAGAAAGAGAAGTGAGAGCAAGAGAAAGCCTAGACACTTTTTTTTCGAAATTTGTGAAATTTTATAGTGAAAAGGGAAGGATGGAAAAACAGAAAAAAGGGAGAGGACGCCGACCTCACACCCGCTCGCACTCAGCCCAGAGAAAACCTCCAGCGGTCGGCTGCGCACTTCCGCCCGCCTTCGGCCCCCGCCAGACCAAGCACGTACGAGCACGACGCCGGTGACGACCCGTCAGCCACTCGTCCACCAGTCAGCTTCCATTGACGGCTGCGCACTTCCGTCAACTTCCGCCGCCCGACAGGCTCGCAGCATCCGAGAAGTCAGCCTCCCCAGGCCCGAAGACCCAGCCCATAGCGTCGTCGGAGCGTCGTGCTCCTCAGCTCAGGCGAAGAGCAAAGAGAACGGAGAGCACACCTAGAAGAGATCTGCGCGGACCGCCTCAATGTGCGCACGCGCCTCCATCATCTCGAAGCCCTCCCGACGGTACTTGATGTCCCGGCGGCAGGCAGCGATTGCCAGAGGCACGAGCTTGATCTGGTAGCTGTGCGCCGGGAACTCGAGCTCAGGCTCGTGGGTCGGCACCGGGATGGAGCTGACGGAGTGGTAGACGATCTCCGGCGTACGCTGAGCCTCGGCGAGGGAGATGAGTCCCGGGCGGCGGTGGAGCGACACGAAGGGGATGGAGGGGAACTCCGGGCGCGGGGTAGGAGGGATGGAGGAGGAACTGGACATGAAGTCGTCGATCTCTGGGGCGATGTCTTTCGACCGGCGAAGGACGTTGCGAAGAGAGCTGAATCGAGGCATAATGCAGGTAGATGTGGAAAGTCGTGGGTGCAGGGGTGGTGCGGATACGAGGTATACTGGAGGACCGAGAGGCGAGGGACTCGTCCTATGTACCTTAGGCGAGGCTCACATTCGATCGTGGCTGGCTTGCCAGCCTCGCGGGAGAAGCACAGGGACTGGGTCCGACTGCTTCTCTTGCGAAGCTAACATCTGGCTCCTATCCCAAGAAGCTGGCTCCTGGTCGATTCATTACTTCAGCTCGGGGGAAGCAATGTATCGAATTTAGCCCCCCGGGCCTGGCCAGGGGCCAAAAGCGATACATGCCCATGTTGAAGTGTGCGTCGCCAGTGCTTGTACAGTGAATGCGCCTGTACATGCGGATGAAGATCTGCTGCAGCTGAAGAACAGTCGCCCATAGGCCTCAGTGCGCCATCTCACGGTGGCAAGTACTGTACGAGCCATGGTAAAGCGCGCCGGGGTTCACGGCAACTGCCGCGCCACAAGGCTCTTTATTTTTCGCTCTTAATTTTGCATTCGTACTAGTGGGATCATCGGCAGTGCTGACTCTTCTCGACAGTATAGGGGACCCACAGAAAGGGGTTACAAGGCTCCAGGGCCTCGAAGCCATACGCCGGATGCTCGACATCTCGATGCCTGGCAGGGGGAGGCTGACAGCAGAAGAATTGCTAGCATTTCCGTGAACCGATGATATAAACCTCTGTGTGATATACGTCGCTTTCAGCTATCTCTTCGTCTCTCAAACAGCAGCTTCCTACGCACATCTCCTGCTTTGCCTCTCGTTATCATGCAGTACTATGCTATGCCTATCCATATGCTCGCCCCAGAGGCTCCTCCGTTCATTCCTTTCTCCAATCTTAACTCCCGCCCCGATCTCATCTCCCTCGAGGACGCTCGTCGCGATCCTGCCATAGTTTACGGATCCTTCGATCGATTGACCCGAACGCCTCCCGTACCAAGGCGTGAACGAAAGCCGTCGACGTCGTCCGTGTCCTCCGTGTCGGCGGGCTCTAGTGCCGGTTCCCCGTCGCCCTCACACAAAAAGCCTTCACACAAGCTTCACCCCGTTCACTTCCGAGGAAAGTGGGGCATTGTTCCCGTTAATGCGACTGAAGCTCGCTGCGACTCTCAGTGCCCGGCCGATGACGACTGCGAGTCGAGCCTGGCAGAGCCTCTCCGCGAGAACCAGCACTCGTCGGTGCGTGACAACTGGTTCTAGCCAAGCAACCTCCCCTTCCCCTCTGTTTTCGCCTTTCTTCCTTGTTTCTCTGTCTCCTCTCAGTCTCCGCCAGCGCAACAGCTGCAGAGCGCAAAGCTTGTTAAGTTCCTGATGCCCGCATATCACCCTTCGTAATTTGTGGGGTCACGCGGCACCTCGTCCGTACTAACAATATTTGCGCCCATAGAATGACCACTCGACAACATCGAGTTGGCGACAGACCTTCAGTCTTCAGGAATGTGCACTACTAACCTTTTTTGCAGGGCCCCGAGGGAGGGAGACACTACTCCTGGCGCAGACCTTTCCGTGGTCCTCGGGATAAGTACTCGCTTGAAGAGTTCCAACTTCGCGAGGAAACTAGCATGCGCTGTGTTATTTGCAGTCATACGTTTAGTTCCGAACCAGTGCAATCTTATGTTTTGTTGACTCTTTACATGCATCTCGAAGCGAGCTTATGCAGACGCCCGCAGCTATACCCCAGACCATATCCTTGACACTACGACTTTACGTCCCAATTCCCCATCTGGATCTCCCTTTGAAACCTAGCCATAGCATGCTCTGTGCTTCTCTTCTGTTACTCTGAATAATGGCAATCGAGATGCAGACGCAAGGCACATCCCAAAGACCAGATCCGCGGACACTCACGTCCCTCTCGGAGATTTTATCTTCGCTGTCGGCACTAGAGGCAGAGGAGACGGAGCTTTCAAGCTCTCTATCCGAACTGCTCTCCGACAGAGAACCTATCATCAACGCCTTGACGCGTCTCCAGTCTCTCGAACCGCGTCTCAATGAACTGTACTCTGAGGCATATATGCTCTCTGGGACTGTAACTGCAACGGCGAAGACGGCGGATCGCGTAGGTGGACGCGTGCGGCTACTGGATGAGGAGATGAAGAGGGTGAGAGAGGCCGGAGAGCGGGTCGGGCAGGTGATGGAACTGAAGGTCAGATACCACCCATGCGCGCCGTTCGCCATAACTGAAGCAGAACACGCCGCCTACTCCTACAGTCCTCGCTGATGGCCCTCCAGTCCGCCATGGAATCGCAAGATTGGGAGTCTGCCACACGGCACTGCGCGCGAGCGATGACGCTGCCGCTGGACGTGACCTCGGGCGCGTTCGCCGAGTCCTCGGTGGTGCGTACCACCCCGCCGCTGTCTGCTTCGCGCTCTCATGTGCTGAACCCCAGCCCAGCGCAGAGAGCCCCCTTCCGCCTGCGCAGACGCTCCAGGATGTCCGCGAACAGCTGCTCAGGATCTTCCGCGAGCAGTTCGAGAAGGTCTCGACGTCGAGGGACGCTGCTGCCACGACGCGCTTCTTCAAGCTGTTTCCGGCCATCGGATGGGAAGAGGAGGGTTTGCAGGCTTACGCCTCGTTTGTGGTTGACCTTGTGAAAGTCCGTGCCCCGGCCTCTGCGAAGAGTAAGTGGCCCGTGGACCTACTACTCGATCTCCTCTCAACTATTTCTTCCCCATCTAGCCTCGTCACCGCTCTACTATATCACTGCCCTGACTGCTCTCTATGAGAGTGTCGCGATGATTGTAGATCAACATCAGCCTGTGGTTGAGAAGTACTATGGCCTCGGCAAGATGACCAGTGTGCTTAAGCGTCTGTTGCAAGAGTCCGACAGGGTGACTAAAGATCTCATTGAAGGCTGGGAAGAGGAGCGAGCAATGAAGCGCAAAGTATGCCGTTTGTTTCACGTTCTGATACCATTGTTGATCGCACATTAGCTTGCAGATATTTCGAACCCTTCCTTCCAATCTCTGAATACGCCTGCACCCATACGGCGGGTTGCTTCCCATGCTGGTGCCGTGGACGAAGACCAAGTGGACGCAAGGGAGATCGACAGAGTGCTCACGGAGGTTGCCGGAATGGCAGGTCGATGGAGCCTGTTCCGGAAGTTCCTCTATGAAAGGCTGAAGGTCGGTATGGTAGCCAATTCTTATCACGCGTACTCACTAGCTGTTTCCATGTAGGATAGCGAGGACGAGGACGAGGACCAAAGCAATGATAGGTCACGCCCGCAGACGCCTCAGCCGCCACCCACGGCCAGGAGCCAAGCATTCGAACCGGTTGACACGGGGGTATCGGACGCACTAGAAGCCATCGAGGCATCGTCATCACGCCAGCTCATGGAAGATACCCTCAGCACTTATTACGTACCTATGGAAGTCTGGTACAGTCGTACTATCATCGACAAGGTGAGAACTCTTCTCCCTTTCTTTGATTTCATCCATATAACTCGTCTCAGGCGCACAGCCTATCGAAGCCCGACTTCTCCCAGCTCCCAGCTATCACCACCACGCCTGACGATGCTTTCTACATCCTGAAAGTTGTCCTATCGAGGTTACTGTCCTCCGGTACCGTGAAGATAGTCGAAAAGGCTTCGGAGGCATTGCGCGAGGCCATGGACCGCGACTACGCGGGTGTCATCAAGAGAAAGCTGGATGATGTGTATAGGACTGGTGGCTCAGGACCCTCAGCGAGAGGCGAGAAAGAGAGCCGGCAGGCCTTCATCGTGAGCGGCGTTCGATAACTGCTTCTCGCTCGCCCACTAACTGGACGCCCAGATACTACTTAATGATCTTGATATTTCCTCGTCGCATATGGAACGGCTGACCAGGGAGTTGTGCTCGTCAACTCTCATTACACAAAATTTCCTAGACAGCGAAGCGGACCAAGTGAAAGACGCTATATCTTCATTCAATAATCTCGTCCCACGTTTCCGCTCAACGCTGCGGGTACGTCTTGCTCTTCCTACGCCGGTTGCTGTCGTTGCTAACCACTACACCCAGGCTGGCATCGAGCAACTCTTCAACCAGCTACTGCGACCTAAACTGCGCATGTTCATCCCAGACGTGTACAAGGACGTCTCGTACGTGCTGGATGATGCCAGCTATGCTGTGGCCGAGATAAACGACGTCGTCCGGAAGCGGTTCGTCAAAGCGTGGGAAGGCCTGGTTGAAGGCTACAAGGTATGCATCCTAACAGAGACTAAATTCCTATAGGCGCTGCTAACAGGTTCTCCAAGGACACTTTCACTGAGAGCAACTTCCGCCTATTCTTTGGATTGGCCCTGGACGTGCTGGTTCGCCCCTGGGAGAAATTTGTGATGGCATTGAAGTATACTGAGGTAATGCGGCCGTCTGATTGTAGCCGGTCGAACATTCTGAACATGAAACCAGCTCGGTGCTGTACGCTTTGATCGCGACCTGCGAGCTATCACGACGTATTTGTCATCTCAGACGGCCTTTGGAGACGTCAGAGAGAAGTTCTTGCGTCTGCAGCAGATTGCGACGCTTCTCAATTTGGACTCGGTGAGTTTGCTATTTCAGTTTCTTGTTCGATACCGCCGCTGATTGAGCTGCTGCAGGAGGAGGACGTGGAGGAGTTTTACAACGGCTCAGGCATCTCATGGAAGCTGAACGAGCACGAAGCTCGTCTTGTTGCCGGACTTCGTGTCTAAAGCCTTTTGCGTTATCTATCCTGCTCCGGCATGATACATCGAATCAGAATATACAATTTCGTAAATGAATTATCCGCATCTTCTCGGTACAGGGTATCTTTCATGCGAGCTGCATATTAGTCGCTGTGGAACAAACTCAGCCCCGCCTAAGGGCATCAAGGCGCGCCTGCAGCGCGTCCTCGTCCGACACGCCTCCGCCAGAATCTCCGCCACCTGTGTGGGAAGGGCCGCCGCCTTCACCCATCACAACGGCTTGTTTTGGCTCAGTAAGCGGTGAAGATATCGCTAGGCCACTTGGCGCGTCCGTGAGCTATCCGACAACCAAGTGTCAACAGAGTGGAGCATATGAGGGATAGTCATCGCACGTACCTGTTGGGAGATGTCCACGCCAATCTCGTCGAGGACTTGCTTGAGGATCTTGTCACCTTCCTCCTCCTCGTCCTCGAGGGAGTCGTCCATGACATCGTCAACCGCATCGGACATCATCTCCTCCTTCATGTCCATTGTCGCACTCTCCTTCTCAAATTCAAGCATGATCCGCTGGATCTGCGGCAGGTTCATCCCGCGGTTCATCGCACCCATGGCCTGGTTACGATATCAGTATCGGGTGTGGGGTGCGCGGGGAGAGGCATACCCTTGTGGCGCCGCGCATTGCCTCGGCCATTTGCTGATTGCTTCGGAGGGTCTGTATCCGTAGGCCAACAGCTTGGAGCTGTGTGCGCATCTGGTAGAACTTTTGGACGTAGCGGCGTGTGCGGACGAGGTCCTTTGCCATAACCTTGCACGCATTCTGTGCGGGCATCGCTGTAAGAGCACGGCTCGAGACTAGGACACAGCGAGACTAACGATCTGTCCGGCCTTTGCACTGCGTTTAATGTCGCCGACGAGCTTCTTCTCCTGCTGCTCAAGCTTCGTCCGCTCGCGGTCGAGCTCGCGCTGTGCTTTGGCGAGCGCACGCTGGTGTTGCCGCAGCCGCTCTGCAGGTGTAATTGTGCGCCCAAACAGTGTTTCCTACAGTATCTGTCAGCAAAAACATGCGTTAAAATGTGTGGAAGTCCCGCACGATAATGTTCATGGCTCGAGAGTGGAGTGATGTTGAGAGAGAGCCGGGTGCTGAGCCACGCGTGAGCCGCCCGACGCTTCGTCTCCGACCACCATTATCTGCGCACTGCGCACTCCTCCCCCATTGGCTCCTGTACTTCTAGCAGCGCCATGTCTGCGACAGGTATTCCCGATGTGGGTGCACATTGTGCTCTCGAGCGTTGCAACGTGAACGACTTTCTACCTATCAAATGTCGCTGCGAACGCCTCTTCTGCAGAGAACATATCCAGCCAGAGGAGCACGCATGTCCCCTCATCAATGAGACTTATACCCCGCAGCCAGGCGAACCGGCAAAAAAGATGCAACGGTGCGCGGCGGAGAAGTGCAACAAGCTGAGCTTGGAAGCGTTCATTGCGGAGAAGGATGATATGCAGGGACGGACACCTGCCCTGTGTCTGCAGTGTCAAAAGGCGTTCTGCGCGAGGTACGAGGTACTTGGACGATGTACATTATATGGTATTTCTACTGCAATAACAGCCACCGTGACCCAGCGACGCACGGGTGTGTTGCTAAACCTGAAGCCGAGCCTCAGCGGAATGAGGCAGCTAAGGCGATACTTGCAAAGATATTCCCCACGCAAACCGCCGTATCACCAATGAGCCCCGCATCATCGTCGAGCGTTCCAGCAAAGCGAAAGGCCCCTCCGAGTAATCCGAAGAAGGCTGCTCAGCTTCGCCAGGTCGAATTGATGAAGATGCGCCACAAGGCGCAGGCTGGTGATCCTAAAGACAAAAACAAGTCTGTCCCTATTGACCAGAAGCTGCACGTCAAGGTGCGTACGCAGGAGAAAGGCGAGGAAGAGAAAATATTCTGGTTCCAGAAGGTAATGTCCCCGCCTGTTCCTGCCAAATAGAGACGCTTTAACCGATGTACGGTAGACTATCATTGCAGGACGCGCTCTCGACATGCTATCTCCGCATTTTGGCGTCTCTTCTGATGAAATGGTGCGTCTAGCAGGTTTGTACCAACTCCATTGAACGCTCTGATCCCTTCAGCAGCACCTCTATCTCGAGAGATTCTCGGCCGAAGACATAGATGAGAGAATACGGTTAGAGTTGGACCGGGCTCTGGCTGACCAGGTGGAGGATGGCGCTCAGCTAGTCCTGAATCGATGATCGGTCTTGTAGCAAAGCTAAAGTGCACAGATAGCAATGTACTCTCACGGCAGAATCCCACTGCTGATATCACTAGGATGCTTCCTGCACTCATTGCTGCACTTGTTCCCAGAAGCACTCTGCACGGGGTGTCGGTTGTCGTATTGCCCAGAGACCCGGACCTGAGGGTAGGCTCCAGGCTTGTTCGGCAAAATACATACCATAGGCGGAAGATTGAGCCCGTAAGGAGCATGCGATTCGTAGTACAGAATGCATAGCGTCCGTGATACCACCTGGCCAAAACAATCGTCCGCCCTCCGGACAGTCTGAGAGCAATTGCCTATACACGGATGCGTGAGACACACCGCTGAGGACGCGGCGAATATATAAAGGACGACATGGCCCATGTCTTCGCTAATTCTCAACCCAACACATACAGGGGCTGCCCAGGATGTCTTCCGTAGACATGATGAAGGACCCGCTGCGCGTGGGCAAAGCCATCCGCGCCCAGCTCGAGCACGAGATTCCCAGGGACTTGCCCCTCGAGAAGGACTTCCGGGTCAGTTATCTCCTGCCCTTGCTATGCCCTGCTGCTGAACGCGCATACTGCCGCAGGAAGGTACCAACTACACTATCACGGACCACGTTAACGAGCTTCACGCACAGCTGTGCCCGGACAAGCGCACCCTCGGGCTCTTCACGTCGCTCGTGAACCATCTACACGCCTTCGCGCGCGAGACGCAGCCAACGCACGGCGAGTGGACGCGTGCAATCGAGTACCTCACGCGCGCGGGCAAAGAGAGCACCGAGTACAAGAACGAGTTGATCCTCCTCAGCGACTGCCTCGGCCTCAGCGCGCTCATCGACGAGCTCAACCACCCCAAGCCATCTGTACGCCCTTCTCGTATTCTTGTGCCCATATGAAAGTGTAATGGTGCTGATACTGGGTACTGCAGGGCTGCACGGACGGCTGTGAACCCGGTCCATTTAAGACCGACGACGCGCCTGAGCTACCCTCCGGCTCATCTGTAGCATCCACAAATACCGCCGGCGAGCTTATGTATTTCGAGGCAACGGTCAAGGATACCAAGGGCCAGGGTGTTCCGGGTGCTAAAGCTGAGATGGTAAGGCATCCCGTGCTCTGTGGATGAGGTCGGGATGCTGAACATTACGCGTGCAGTGGCAAGCAGACGGCGACGGCCTATACGATGTGCAGTATCCCAATAGGCCTGAGATCAACGACCGGGCACGTATTATTGCTGAGCCCAATGGGCACTTCAGCTATCGCGGTATCCTGCCGGTCGCATATCCCATTGTGCGTCCCTAGCCCAGGTTCACAGACTGAACGTCATGGCTGACCTAGGTCCGCAGCCCAGCGACGGTCCGATTGGCGACTTCCTGCACGCTCTAGGACGGCATCCGCATCGGTCGTCACACATCCACTTCATGATTACTGCACCGGGCTACGATGACCTTACGACGGCGCTCTACCCATCACACTCGCCTTTCCTGGGTACAGATCCTGTGTTTGCGACCAAGAAGTCACTAGTAACGAGTGTTACCGAAGAACGCGACCCTGCGAGGTGGAAGGCGATGGGGTTCAGCGAGGGCGAGGTGCAAAAACGTGGAGGACGCGTGTGGCTGTGGAAGTATGAGTTTGTGCTACCAAGCGTCGAGGAGGTCGTGGAGCTTAAAAAGCGCCATGACGCGAAAGTGTCAAAGCTTTAGACGTGCGCTGGGACAATTCCTGCCGCATGACCACCGTAATTTCGGATTGCTGAACGTCTATATTTGATCCAACATCGTACAGTATATGGCTGTACGTCGGAATGTGCTTAGAATCCCTTGCTGACGTCGGGATATACATCAAAACGTCTCTGGGTCGTGACAGGGATGACTGTGCGGGTCGTGTGGAATACTTCGGGGTCTGGTGGGTTGCTCAGTGAGGTAACAGGGGTGATGGAAGCGAATGGCGTACCAATATCGACAAACAAGATGTCTTCTTCGTGCTGCAGCTCGCCGATAACCTTACCCCTGGAAGTAACCGTCGCTAAGTACGACAACGACCGACCGCACGAGTAATAGACTTACATTGGATCCGAGACAAGGGAATGGCCCCACTACAAATTCTTCAGTGGTAGACCGTAGAAAACTGCGCGCCATACTTACGGCATGGTACTCGGCGCTGAGGTCCCGCGCTGGACTGCACATGGCAAAGAAGATTTGGTTGTCGATTGCCCTAGAGGGATTGCCCTATAAGCAGCCTTCCCAGGAGAGAGGTGTGGCGTATCACCTAGCGCGTTGAAGCAGCTCCCAGTGCAGCGGACCTGTGGTCAAGTTGAATGCGCCGGGGTAAATGCATATCTGGGCACCCTGGCGCGTCGCAATGGCGGCAAGCTCGGGGAAGCGGATATCATAGCATATGCCGAGACCAATGCGCGCAAAGTCCGTGTCGAAGTAGTTCATTGTCGTTCCGCCTGTCAGAGTCTCACTTTCCTGCAGGAGTGCTCATGAGTTGCGGACAGACAAGTAGAGGGATGAATTAACCTTGAATTTGATCTTTCCAGGGATGTCGATGTCAAAGAGGTGAACCTTGCGATGTGTGGCAACAAGCTCGCCTATGAGACAAGATGGGTACGACACGGCTCTCGAGTGCACTGAGACCTACCCTTCGGGTTATAGACCGTTGAGGTGTTGTAGACCTTGCCCTCTGGAGTCCTCTCTGGAATAGAACCTATCCATACACGTGTTCAATTCCTGGCGCGAGTAAAGCGGATGCATACGTACCACCCAGCAGCCATATTCCTGTTTCCTTGGCTACCGCAGACAGCAGCTTGACAGACTCGCTTTCGGATTTGTCTGCATTGTACGGCTGGCCCGGCTGATAGCCAATGGTCTCAGCGTAAATCGGGAAGTGGACGTGTCCGTAAGGTGAGTTAAAGCATTCCTATGATCAAGAATTGCTTCAGTCGCGCCAGGGCTACCTTCAGTGGGTGCATGAGCGCACAGGGAGCACAATGAGATCAGGTCTCTTCCCACTAGATCCTCCCTTTGCCGCCTTGAGCACCATTTCATGTGCATGCTTCAGGTTTGCTGCATGGAGATCATCTAGTCTGAGTATGTGCACGCGATGTTCCCACGAGACTCGCTCACCGGCCTTGTCTGCGCCAATTCCACCGAGCTGTATGAGCGCAAGAGTAAAAGGTTTGAAGGTAGGTGCTGATGACATGGCGAACGTTCTGGACAAGAATGGTTTGCGGAGGGAGGGACGGAGGTAGCTGGAGAACATCCTCTGGCCTCGCGTCCGTAGGCCGGCCCGCAGTGCGGGGTCGAGATAAGATTAAATCAAGCTAGCGGATCAACTAGATTAGATCTGAGCTGTGGATGACAGTGGTCCTCGCATTTATGTAGACCCGTAACTTAGCTCTCAAACAGAGCTTCTACCTCTCTCAGACCAATTACCACCTACCTCTCACAATATATCTCACCTCTTGATTCGCGTTTCTGCCACACAACGCGACTTTTTAGTCCACTCAGGGGTGCTCTACAACCATTTCTGAAGTTCTCTAGTCGAGCAGCAAAACAGCGGTGAGCAAATATCATGGCAGCCCTGAGGGTTGCGCGCGCACACATATGTACTCATAATAGAGCCGGTTTTTTGTGGGGACGAATATGCTTGATAGTTTCACTATAGTCGAGGAGCGCGTATCGGGACATGATCAACTCAGATATCGACCACCATGGTGCCCAGGAAGACCACTTTGCTAGTCCTATACAATCCTGCCGCAGGTGCTGGACAGGCACGCGAATTCTTCGAACACGAATTATTGCCCGTATTACGTGAACATGGACACGAGCCTGTTCAAATTGTACCGACAGCGAGCCCGGGGCACGCGGGTGAGGTCGTCGTGAAGTTCCTCAACACCATCTCGGAGCAACGATTGGACATAGTCCTTGGATCAGGAGACGGGACTTTGCACGAGATCCTCGATGCCGTCGATCACGTAGGGCCCACAGAGCTACACGGCCGATTCAGAGAGCTCACCTTCGCCCTCGTCCCCTGCGGTACTGCCAACGCGCTATATGCCTCGCTCTTCCCCCCAACACCCGGGGAAAGCGAAGAACTCTTGGCGTCCAAAACGCAGTCGTTGCAGTCGCTGCTTGTCGATGCAATGACCACACGCCCACTCACACTTGCCCGGACTACACTCTTATCGATGAGCGCCGCACCGCAATCTGCCGACGCGCGCACGTCCATCGCTGCAGTTGTAACCTCGACCGCGCTGCACGCCTCCATATTGCACGATTCCGAGGCTCTGCGCGCGACGCATCCCGGCGTAGAACGCTTCAAGCTCGCAGCGCAGCAGAATATCACGCGTTGGTACCGCGCCCGCGTCCGTCTCTTCGTGTCCCCGCCCGCCGTGCCCGGCGCGACGCTGACACCGGGAGTGGAGGTCTATGACCCCGTCAAGGACCAGTTCATGTTGTCCGGAGGCGGCGAGACATCACTTGGCGGCACTATCGTCGAGCTCGATGGCCCGTTCGCATACTTCCTCAGTACAACAAACGCAGACAGGCTGGAGCCGACGTTCCGCGTCGTGCCCAAGCAGAGCACATTCCCTCCCCCATCGCTGTCCAGTCCCGCGACAATGGACGTCGTGGTAGTGCGCCCGCTGCGAGATCCGTCAATCTCAGATGCCTCGGAGCAAAGCAGGCAAGCATTCGCGCAGAAGTGCATGACTGTCATGGGCGGAGCTTATCGTGACGGTGCGCACATCAAGATGCGGTATGGATCGAATGGAGAGATTGTGGAAGGACAAGGGGAGGGGCCGACTGTAGTTGAATACTTCAGATGCAACGGATGGGAATGGATACCGGTCAGTACATACTCTTTTAGCTTAACTGTGGCATTGACCCGCTTTACAGGAAGAAGACGACGAAGCTGCACATCTCATCTGCGTTGACGGTGAGATCCTACAGATTGAGCAAGGTGGCAAGGCGCTATGTCAAGCACTGCAGGACCTTGGAGAGATTAAGGTCTCCGCATACGCTTAAATCTAAAGTCATGTATCATTATTATTCAAGCCTACATCCTTGAGCATCCGTGTGTTTGTATGAGTGGTATTAGGAGCAGTTTCAGCCTTCCGCAGATCATGGTATGTCCGTTCATGCAGTGACGTTCCGTGTCACCTCGCCCGAGATGATCTTAGCAACGATCTCCTTTGCTTTAACATGCACCTCCTCGACTGTGACAGATGAGTCGATCTGTAAAGGCGTCAGCGCAATGAAGTCGTCGAAATTGCACAATAGAACACACCTCAGCGACCTTGGCCTGCTTGTTGTAGTGCTCAATGACAGGCATCGTCTGCTCGTGGTACACGCGGAACCGCTTGCGAATGCTCTCCTCGTTATCGTCCTCACGGCCGCTCGTCTCCCCGCGCTTGAGTAGGCGCTTGAGCATCTCATCCTCGGTCGTTGTGAAGAAGAGAACGATGCGCGGCGTGCACACATCCTCCTCGAACTTGAGAGCCTGGTCCATCTTGCGCGGAAAGCCGTCGATCAGGAAGCGGCCGCGGCCGTCCGTCCAACCCTCGGCGCCGCTATCCCCGCGCGTCTGGAGGGCCTCGCGCATCGCGTTCTCGAGGAGTTTGATTGTAACCTCCATAGGCACGACCTGCCCCTCGCGGATGTATGTGCGGATCATCTCACCGTGCGCAGAGCCCGGACGGTCCTGCTCTGCGCGTAGGAGGTCGCCGGCTGCAGAACGAGAGTATAAAGGACGGCAGATACGACTGAGACGGGAAGAACGTACCTGACAGGTGGCAAAAGCCAAAGTCCTGAACGAGGTTGGCGCACTGTGTGCCCTTTCCTGCGATACGCGCTTGGAATAGATACAAAGCGGAAAGCATGAGGTCCACTCACCGGCACCAGGGCCTCCTAGCACAAAGATTACGACGACTTTCTCGCCGTCTAAGACAGGTGTCGATACTGTGGTCTCAGCAGCAGTGGCGGTGGCAGCTTGGGGTGCTTCCTGGCGGTGACGGTGGGGAATATGCAGCGCATCGGCAATCTTCTCTATAACACCGGGCATCGTGTATATGGCGACAAGAACGGGGTCTTAACGCGTCTTGTCCTTGGAGAGGTCCTCGGGGTGAATGGGAGGGATAAGCGGGCTGTCGCGTTGGCGGGCCTGCCGGGATGCGGGGTATGTGGCCTCGCGGTGCTGGATGAGGTAGTAGAAAGCAGCGTAGGAGGCGAGCGAGACACCGACGAAGAGGAGTGGATTGGGATACTTGCGGTTACTGGGAGACATAGCCCGAATCTGCTCATCAGTCCTGTTCATCTTGTCTCGGCCATGTGCGCTCGTCCTCCCATATATGGAACTACGGCGGGACGCCCATTCAAGCGCCAGAACCTCTACCTTTCTCCACTACCTCCCCATGGATATCCGATACGACCACGGCTCCGAAGTACACGTCGTGCGCGCAAACTGTGACGATGCTCCAGACTTGATTGCCATTGGTGGGGATCACTCAGTACAGGTCCTGCTTACCGTATGCCCGTCCCGCGTTGTATTGCCCGCGCACGCTCTGAACTCATCTAGATAGACAGAGACGTCCGCCAGGGTTATCGCCGACTTCTACATAGGATGCAGAATTACCGCAATTGCGTGGTCGACGCGCTGCACCTCACCATCAACCACGGACGAGTGGTCAATAGAGTGCGTACAGCTGCCTTCGCTTGTCGCGTGAGCTTCTACGAATGCGTTTGATAGACTGGCAGCCGCTGGCTTAAACTTTGGACTGTACCATCTGTCGAAATCGCGTGATGTGTCAGAGGACGTGTTCTCGTTTGGCGGTGGCCTCAGCGGCCACCACGGCCGGGTGAACGACATGGCCTTTTGCGGCGGCCACTCCGACGACAGCTGGCGATATGTCGCGACGGTATCCGGTCCGTCGCCCACCCATTTTACATTTCCTTCTCTTGATGCAGCTGTGGTATAGACGACAAGATGCTCATGGTATGGGATCTGAAACCAACACTACACATTGCCTCTCCCGGCTTGCCCTTGTCCTCGCCTACGCCGCGCCCACAGCCGACCGCATACGTGATCAGCTTCCCATACCCGCTCGCGACCGTCGCCGCACACCCCAGTACGAGCAAGGAGTTCCTCATCGCCGACGCACGCGGCAACATCTTCCTCACCGACTGGCGCACCGACCCTGAGGAGAACGAGCAGGCCTCCTGGCGCAACTCAAGCGTCATCGAGCTCGTCGAGCCCCGCGCACTCAGCGACACCGTCCGTGGCGTGCCCAACCGCTATGCGAGCAGCGTTGCGTGGAGACGCGACTCTGTGGACATGTGCGTCTCATCTTTTGTAGCATACGTCACTCATTGACAGAGCCTGCAGTATTGGCGCCGCATACGGCTCGCGCTTCTCGCTCTGGGACCTCTCGAAGCTGCAGGGCGGCAAGCCGAATGTCGTGGGCCCGACCTTCCCGGATGGCGGGACCAGGTTCCGCTGGTGCACGACCTACCCGGAATACTTCGCTGTGACGACCAACAGTACCGCCAAGGGCGCTGTCATCCATGTCTACAATACGAGCTACCTGCAGGCGCAGCCTACCGTGTTTAGCATTGAGGCTCGTCCGCTGTACGTGCGCGATTTCGACTTTGTCGGCGGCAAAGGCATCCCCCGTATCGCTGCTGCTGTCGGCCGCCAGCTCATTGTATTCTACATCGGCGTCGAGTCGTAGGAATTGCGCGTGTAACGTAGCAACCTCGTGCTTTGGGATATGCAAGCGGAAGATACATTGTGTGGTATATCCTAGAATGACACAAAGCATAATTACGCAGAGGCACCGCGAGATGGGGTAGCTGTGTACAAGTCTAGGAATTAGTCAACAAGTAGGCATGTCCGTCGTGAACGAATAAAGGAAAGCAAAACAAGCATCACAGCAGTCGTGTAGAAATGAAATTGGGCATTCAGTCGTGAAGGGCGTAAGCTAGATAACAACAGGGAAGGCGTAGCAGGATAGCAAGGAAAGGACAGACAAACCAGCACAGTGCGCAGTCTCATCAGATTAGAGGAAAGACACCATATTGGAAAGAGGGGGGGACAGTACTATCGCGACACCATTCCACCGTAGCCATTGTGTGAGCTGCTGTACGGCGGCGGGGGGTATGGGTGGTAGTGGTGCCTCGTCGGGTTCGTGTGCGTGTACCCGGTATGGCTCGGCTCGTGATAGCCCATCCCGCCTGATGCCCCGGTATGCGGTGTCCCGAACGTGCCGCCGCCATCAGGCATCGTGAGCGCGAACCCGTTCACTGCGGGATACGTACCACCTTCGATACCTTCGCCGAAGCCGAGCTCGCGGAACATTGTACGATAGTACGTTGCGTCGGACTCGGTCGGGACGTATGCGGGCTGTTGTGGCGGCGAGCTGTATGACGATGCGTGCTGTTGGGTCTGTGGGATGGGAGGGGGAGGGAGCGTGTGCTGCGGTGAGCTGTTGGCGTAGGGGTATCCTGATATGCTACTGCGCACAGATGAATCTTGCGCGGAAGGGTATTCTGAGTCGCGAAGGTGGGCATGATTATGAGACGAACCAGACATAGATGGAGGTGGAGGTGCAGATGACGAAGTGGAGAAGTGGTACGATGGATGATGGTCAACGTGCATCGAGTGCTGCTGTTGGTATATAGACGGAGGTGAGTGCACCGATGAGGGTCCTGAAGAATACGACGATGCTGTGACATCATCAGCTTTCTTGTTAGTTGGGCTCAGCAGAAAAATTTGCTTACTTGAGAAGCGGGACTCGCTGGAACGCGCGCTCTGCTGCTGCTGGTAGCGGTCTTTCTCAGCTTGCTTTGCGCGAAGAGTGTCGTTTGCAACTAGCGCCTTCAAGAAGCGTGCATGATATGCCGCGGCACTCGACGAGCTCGATAACGTCGACGCTTCGTGATACGCATCAGCCGTCTTGGAGATTGTGCTGTGAATCTCTTCAGTGGCCCCTTCGTGCAATTGAGCGAGCGTATTGGAACTCCTCAACAGCTGCCGACAAGAATGAGTGGAGCCCTCAGCAGGGTCATAAAAGCTGAATACCTTCAGCAGGAAGACGGCAGCGTAGGCCGTCATCACTGTGGTAGACTCTTGGCCATAGCGCTAGATTTTCCCCGGACATCAGCGACTTCTTCAAGTTAGCTTCCCGGGCACACTCACCAGCATCGCCATTCCAGCGAAGTCTTTCGTAACGATCTGCAAACTCTCCAGCGCACTGGTGTAGCATGCAGACAGTGCTGCGAGGCTGGGAGTAGCACGGGTATTCTGGGGCACAACTATGAGCCTGTGTGTGTCACCCGGCGACCAAGCACTCACCGACGACAATGGTCCGCTGATACCGAAACTATTTAAAAAGAGCCGCACGTATAGCCGGAAGAAGCTCAGGAACGCGATGTGGAATTTCTCGCCATTTGCTGGGGGCGTCAACGCTTTCAGCGATCACCCTGGGACAGAACGGGAAGAGAGATCCTACCTCGCTGCATCTCCTGCTGCCATGTCTCACCCCACTGCGTCAGCTTCCCGTTACAATTGCGCAGCAAGACGTCGTAGTTCATGTCCGTATGTTGACCCTGAGCGCCTCTGTTGGACGCAAATACCTCCGTAGTCTCCGAGGCAATTCTCCGCAGCTGGACAAACGCGGCAACAATGACATCCTCGGGACGAATGGGCGTCCCACCTTCCTCGTGCCAAGCCGTAGAGTGTCGGACGAGCTCGCACTCGGGTAGCATCCACTGGCGTCCTGTCTGCGTGCTGAGGCTGCGGTCGTGGACGAAGAGCACGAGATACGTCCTCTCGCGGTTGCGGCGCTCGAGGAATTGTCGGTCCGTTTCTTCCGGCGAACGTTTTTCCACATATCGGTTGAGTCCAAGCTCCACGGCCATCCGACAGGCATATCCGATGTACGTCCAGGTCCGATTGTCGTCGGGCTCCCTCCAGTAGGTGAGACACGCGAACGCTTGACAAACCTCGACGCGCTTCCATTGTTCGGCGAAAGCTTTGACCGCAAACTCACCCGCCAGCTGCCGAACGTGTTTGTACAGCTCCTCGGCGAAGAACTTGCAGCATGCCATGATAATGGTGGTGAAGAGGAATGGACAACGCGAGCGCACATAGTTGACGGTGTGCAAGGCGGGGTCGAAGAGATTGATGAAGGGGTTCAGGCGGAGGAAGAACAGATCAAAAAGGATCTCTGCACGCCTCTCGTCCACAATTCCGGCGGCAATGGGGTCCTGAAGGGCCTGGAGACCTGAGAGAGCACTCAAGGGCGGCTCGGTAACGCGGGGGACATGGGGTGAACGCGAGCGTGGTTCATCCATTGTCTGACTGCGTTCGGACGTGGGCCTCGACGGCGGCGGCTCGTAGGGCTCAGGGTTAAGAATGGTCTTGAAGAACTTAGAATTACGTTGTTCTTTTGAAATGAGCTCCTGGGGAAATATATTGTTGTCTTCCGTTTTCTCGGATTCCTCACCTTCCTCTTCATTGCCTGTACGCGACGAGCTGGACAGAGGGCCGCCCTCGTAATCTGGAGGCAAGTTGAGCGGTGGAAGCTCATTGTTCGGGAAGCGGTCGGACGGCCTGGCCTCTGAAGAGTAAGGCAGAGCAGTAGCTTCGGCATTTTGTGACTTGAGCTTTGCGCTGTTGAGACCCTTCTCCAACCGGCGGAGCATCTTGGACGCCTCGGACAGCCTGAGTGCAATGCTCAAGATGAGTGCATATAGTCACATGGTTTAAGCTTACTTGGAGCCTGGCTTGCGCCCACGGCGGTGTTTCTCGAATATGCATCTAACGGCGATATGAGTGGATGACCTATCGGTCATTTGGAGGAATGGCAACTCACTCTGTACCCGAGCGCTTGCAACGCTGACAAGGCTGACCTTCTTCCGCACCCACGCACTTCATCTGCAAGGCCGTCTATCAGCGATAGTGGATTAGGGTGCAGGGTCGGAGGCTTACCTTGGCTGCCCTACAAACGGTACATGCTCTTGCTCCTCTGACGACAGCAGGCTTACTGGAGGCCGGCGGGCACGTGTTGAGGATATGAGCGAGTAATTAAGTGGAGGATGGTGCGTACTTTTGCTTTGCAGGATCTGACACAGACGTCGATGCTGAGGCCGAAACCCCTGGAGTAGGCGAAGACCGCGCAGCGGACACAGGCTGTTCCATGGTAAAGGCAGAATACTGTGGGGTATGTTCTACACGGGGATCAAGCGTTGAGGGTGACAGCCGGGGATAGTCGGAAGATAGCAAAAAAAAGGTGCGCTCGCTGTCGCGGACGACGAGCGCGAGGATGGTAGGTGGTGGTGGGGGAGAAACGAGAGAGAAGACGGGGGGCGAGGATGGTTTGAGTGTGTTTGATGTGTATGGGCACGAACGCGGCGATAGTCACGCTTCACGGAGAATTCACCGGTTTACTGTCACATATGTGACAGGAACCGCCGCCGGTAACCTTGTAGGGCAGTGTTTATCTCCTAATCTAGGTGGCTTGCGTCACAAATGTCACAGACGCATCCTGGGGAAACGCCGGATGCGAATTAACCGGCGGGCGGTTATCTTGCGGAAGTCAATCGCCTCGGACCCCGAATCGGTCACTATACCATTTTCCCCTTGTGGCCAAACGCCCGGGTCGCCTTTGATACCCGCTCGATCTGTGCGGTCCCGGTGTTGCCCCCTCCTCCACCCCTGGCTTCGCACTCGCCGACGGCGGAGCAGACATCAGCCAGCTTCTCACCGAGCGCAGCCAGTGCTGTACTCATGGACGCCGACGTCGCCCAATGCACCCTGTTACAGAGGCAGAAGACAGCTCGCATCACTCGCACGGCTGTCCGGGTCCCCGTATTATTGCGCCACGCATTGACCAGCAAATTGGGCGTGACCGGCGGTGTTCGACTTCAGTACCGTCTCCGGGCCTCTCCGTGCCGATGATAAAGACTGTGGATCCACAACGCTGGTATTGCACAGCATCGCGCACCCGATGGCAAGCATGCGATCCGCAACAGGGCTGCCTGTCCTCCTCTCATTAGTCACCGCAACGGCCTCCACACACGCTTGCCGTGGTCCCCGTTCGCGGGAGGTTTTACTCATCTCAATATGATTTGCAGCGATCTAGCACCACTGTCCAACAGCCTCGTCTGAAGGGCGAATCGCCTGGCGTTCAAGAGAAGATTCCGACACGGACAGATGCGTGAGATAACTTACGCCAAGCGCATAGCGAAAAGGCGGCGAGATCGGATTGTTCGTATACTACCATTGTGCTGGGCAGTGTAGTTCTTTTAGGCACGACGCTGGAGGATCTCGTGAATCATCTAGCTACTTATTGGTGAGATATTAGTGCGCTACTGAGCCGAATAACGCGAGTCGTAACGAGGACTGTAATCTCCCGAGTCGTGCATGGCTAGTCCGATGACGTTTGGCGATCTCGTCAGCCGCGTGTCTCTACCGGCACCCCGCATATGTGCAACGCTCAGAGTGCACGCCCAGGAGCCATTAGCGGCCGCGTCGCGCGCACAGCCGATGGCATCGCAGTCTCAGCCTCCCCTGAGCGCAGTCGGCGTCGCGACGGAGTAGGCAGCCTCCCCGGCGGAGGTATTCAATATACTAATCACTGATTGCAGTATGCCGAACCCGGTAGGCTACCGCCCGATGACACGGTCACCAGACACTCGCCCAAGCATACCATCACGAGCCGTCACACCTGCGTCGCTGGCAATTAATGCAAATCACCATGCATCATGCAGTGTGTATCACAATGCGGAACATGCACTCGCAGGGTGGTACTGTGGATGTCGGGAGCAAGTGCAGCACCCAAAGGGCGTGCCGGACCTGGGTATACAGTTACTCCCCTTGGCGGCGACGCTTGGGATGCCGCGTGAGCCGGGCGGGTTACCACCTTGGGCCGGTGAAGATCCCTGACATTGTCTCCAGAAGGGGAGATGACGCGATGTCAATGAAAAGGGCTGTGCTCAGTGCAAATGAATGAAAGCGAGACGGAAACCCTAGCGGATCTGTTCCCAGTCACAGCAGACTGCAATGCGTCTATGGCGAGGCAGACTCACAAGCGTACGGCGTCTCTAGTGAGACTCAGCTCGGCGGAGGCTGAACCAGCATGTGTGCCTTTAGGAACATGCATTCCAACTTCCCAAGACTTTGGTACTGAGCGACTGGATATCCACGGGGATCAGTATCATGCACTGCGCAGATGGCTGCTGGATCACACCGCCCGACGCGACGATCACCTACTCTGAATCTGGACTCGGCCGATGGCCATAGTTAGCCTCAGGGGGTGTGAACCAAGAAGTGTCTCTCCGTGAGACCTCGGAAGGCGAAGGAGAAACTGTGCGCGGTGGCAATATCTCGATGGAGGAAGGTTGTCAGGCATTTACTTTGCTAAGTTAGGCAGAACGTACCAAAGAACAGCCGCCATTCACGGACCGCGCACCTACGAAACGCACCGACAACGGTACTCCAGTACCCAGCTTGTTGGAACTGTTTCCCCATGGGGTCTTTCCCTCTCATGCACATGAGTAGCCATTACAAAGCATACCCGTTGCGTGTCTCGTACCACCCGCGTCGTCGGGCCCGACGAATACTTAGTACTGCATGGACCGGCATTCACAGAATTACCAAAATTAGAATTCAGTGATGGGACCGTGAACAGACGCTCTCACTCTGAGAGCAAAACAACTGCTAATATCCAGCTGCATAGAAGTCGGTGCGTACACCTTTTTTAGGCTTCCGCCAGCGCTTGTGCAGAGGGCGCATCAACTGATATCGGTGCATCCCACGATAGATGACTAAGCATCTCCCACTGCGTAAGCGCCAAAGTTGCCTGACGCGACCGCAAAGTCGACGCTCACCACCACTTACGAGCCATGGTTAGAATCATCATTAAAGGAGGTACGTAGCTCTCACACGCCATCTTTTGTTGAAATTAACAAGCTGTGTGGCACAACAGGTGTTTGGAAGGTATGACCGGTCTAATTGGTATCGCAAGGCCAACGCTTACTACGCTTCGCAGAACACTGAGGATGAGGTACTAAAAGCGGCCATTGCAAAATATGGAAAGAACCAATGGTGCGTGGGTGTGTTCTGATACTTTTTTTCTGCAATACGTTGCTAAGTCTAATGCAGGGCTCGTATATCATCCCTTCTGGTTCGGAAGACCCCAAAGCAATGCAAGGCACGGTGGTACGAATGGCTCGACCCCTCCATTAAAAAGACAGAGTGGTCGAAGGTGCGCTTTCTGCTCGGTGCTTTGTGTGCTTCTCTGACTTCGGCACGTAGGAGGAAGATGAGAAGTTGCTCCACCTTGCGAAACTCATGCCGACGCAGTGGCGGACAATAGCTCCCATCGTCGGACGCACAGCTACGCAGTGTCTAGAACGGTATCAGAAACTGCTGGATGAAGCAGAAACTAAGGAGAATGAGGAACTTGGACTAGCAGGGCCAGGAGGGGAGGCAGGGCCTGGTGCTGACGACGTTCGAAGGCTGCGACCGGGTGAGATTGACCCTGACCCAGAGACGAAACCCGCGCGTCCAGACCCAATTGACATGGATGAGGATGGTGCGTGGTATTGCCCTAGACTATGAAAGAGTACTAACTAGTGCATAGAGAAGGAGATGTTGTCCGAGGCGCGCGCCCGTCTTGCTAACACGCAGGGCAAGAAGGCGAAGCGTAAGGCTCGTGAGCGCCAGCTAGAGGAGGCACGTCGGCTGGCAGTACTTCAGAAGAAGCGTGAGCTGAAAGCGGCGGGCATCATCATGAGGCACAAGACGAAAAAGAAGGGCATGGACGTAGGTGGCATCGCGGTATTCCTGGTTTCTGGTACTAATGTTATCGCTAGTATAATGCAGACATTCCGTTCGAGAAGAAGCCTGCGCCAGGCTTCTATGACACCTCAGATGAGCAGGCACGCGAGACCACTGCACCTGTTGGCCAGACACTTCGTAGGCTCGAAAACAAGCGCAAGCCGGAAGAAGAGGAAGCGGAACGCAAAAAGCGCCAGCGTCGGGGGAAAGAAGGCGACAATACACCACATCAGACCAAGTTTGTCGCTGCGCGAGATGCACAGATTCAGAAGTTGAAAGAGGCGGAGTCGATAGGGCGGCGGAGGAAGCTTATGCTACCAGCAGCGCAGGTTGGCGAGAATGAGCTGGAGGAGATTGTGAAGATCGGGCAGGCCGGTGAGGAGGCGAAAGCGTTAGTGGCTGGTGGATCCGAGGCAACGGAACGTCTTCTGAGTGACTATGAAGGCTTGGAGAAGGCAAGGATGGCGCGGACACCAAGAACTGCACCTCAACGTAAGTTAAACTGCTCGCTATTTACATGCCACTTTTTCTGACTCTTGCATGTGCAGATGACAACGTCTTATCGGAAGCACGAAACCTTCGCAACATGACCATGGCTCAGACGCCGCTCCTTGGCGAGGAAAACACGCCAATCCACTCCGACCCACAAGGCGGCACTGGTTTCGAGGGTGCAACTCCACGTCACCAGATCGCATTTACGCCAAATCCTCTGGCGACACCGATGCGGGTGGGAGGAACTGATGTCGCAGCTACGCCGCGCGATCAGAGGGTTGGGGCGACGCCACTGCGCACACCGATGCGTGATAACCTGAGCATCAATGAGGAGGGTTACTCCATGGCCGGCGAGACACCGCGCGAGCAGCGCATACAACTGGGCTCGACGAAGCGGGCGCTCAAGGCAGCATTCATGAGCCTCCCAAAACCAGAGAACAACTTTGAGCTGCTCGTGCCTGAGGACGAGGACGAGGAGACGGGTGCCGAAGTGCTTGTAACAGAAGAGGATGCCGCGGAAAGGGATGCAAGACTCAAGCGCATGCGGGAGGAAGAGGAGCGCAAAGCTCTCGCACGGCGATCGCAGCCTGTGCAGCAGAGCCTTCCTCGACCACCGAATGTGGATATCGAGCAGCTCCTGCAAAACCTCAACATCTCCGCTGAGGATGAGGCGACGCGGCTAGTCAACGAGGAACTCGCTTCGCTTCTCCGATACGACTCGATTGCATACCCTCTGCCCGGCACTGCCCTCCCTGGAGGCACGCGGTCAAGCTATGAGATGCCAGCAGACGACTTTATCGATGCTGCCAAGTCGGCAATCCAGGAAGAGCTCGCATCAGCACTTGGATACCCCGATGCGAACGCCGAGCAGCTGAAGCAGGGTCTGTCGGTACTTTCCGCCCAGGAGGAGGTCGACGAATCGCTCTCGTGGGCAAATACCCGGCCGATACTCGCGTATAACGTTACCGAGAAGCGGTGGGTCGATGCCGACTCCCTGACGTCTGAGGCGCGCATCCAGGGCCTCTCGGTGCAACTGAATGAGTACCGCGAGCAGATGGCGAAGGAGGCACAGAAGGCGTCCAAGACGGAGAAGAAGCTTGGTGTCACGCTTGGCGGATACCAGGTTCGCTCTCGCGGTCTCGTGCAACGCATCGTCAGCGGCTTCGACGAGCTGCAGAAGACACAGATCGAGCATGACGCATTTGCGCATCTTCGTGCGAACGAGCTCGCAACGGGTCCTGTGCGCGTCGCTGCGCTCAAGGAAGAGGTCGAGCGCCTTGAGACGCGCGAGCGCATGCTGCAGGGCCGCTACGCCGAGCTGGAGCACGAGCGACGCGAGACAGAGACACGCATCGCTGCAGTCGAGGACAAGCTAATGGCGGAGGCGGAGGCTTTGAACGACGCGGCGCTTGCGGAGTTGGAGGCCTGAGCCCGTCGGGCTCAGTGGGGCGTACAAATTTTGTGTGTATGGACTGGATATTCTACTGCACTAGTGTATTATCACCGAGGCATTTCACCGTCTGCACCCGGTGTATACAATGTATCCTGGTCTCGGAGGACCTGGACCTGCGTTCGATCTTGTTCTATCCGCTCCGCCACCTAATCTGACGCACCGTGTGTGCAGTGCTCTGCTCGCACTGCTTCCTGGATTACCTGCTCGTCGCGTGTCCTCCTGTGCCCCTCGAGGCTCCTCATCGTGCGAACGGCCGCAGCGGACACAGCCAGGCCTCAGCGTGGTGCGGAACAAGAAGAAATCCAGGACAAAGCTGCACGAGGCATAACGCCATAGCCTCAGGCCCTAATATACAATATTGCACCGATCCGGGCCTCATTCCCCGCGCCCATCTTTTCCTTATACCCGCTCCTCTGCACCTGCTGCGACCAACAAACCTGTGTATATTTCGACTTACGATCCTTACCGAAAGGACTAAGACTAATGCCCGCACCGGCTCCAGCCTCGGTGAGCACCGCAACATCTGTTGTGGTCGAGACGCCCCAAGGCACAGTCATCACCACTACCATCTTTACGACGTCCGTGCCGACAGACCAAAGCGCAGCTGCGCCATCTTCCACAAGCAAGTCAGCAGACACGGTACCAGTGGGGGCGATCGCTGGCGGAGCTGTCGCAGGCGTGTTCCTGGCAATAGCAGCAGTTATTGCCTGGCATCTCTGGGGACGAAACATCAAGCACAAGGAGACGGAGAAGAGGAAGCAAGCAGTGCGTAGTGCTGTGCTGAGACATGGATCTACCACCCCGATCCTCGCTGACGCTGTGTGCGCGTAGTTCGCGTTCTTCCAGGTCCGCGAGAACACTAGGCGCAATGCATCGTCGCTCTCACGGCCGCACGACAGCTATCGGCCGTCGTCGGCAGCTAATAACGCAAGCGAGCGCAAGGTCAAGTTTGTCTCCCTATACCCGCGGACAGCCTCCAATGCTGAGTCCGAGAAGGAGAACGGAGGTGGGTGCATTTCGTTGCATTGCACAAGTATGAAAAGCCCAAATGAAGCTAATACTCCCAGACAATGTCTCAAACGTGCCTTTCGTCGCTCGCCCCGTGAGCTATGCACCTGCACGGCCCAGCCCTCTCGCCAAAAGCGTGACCCCACGAGACGAACCGCCGTCGCCTTCAGGAGCGTCCGCCCCGCTCTTGTCCGAGCGACCGAACCCCACACGAAGCGACACTGATGCCTCAAAAGCATCAACTTCGACTGTGCCCTCAAGCTGGCGCGCACCAATAGCACTTGAGCCCCCACGGCTGAGCCACAAGAATTCGAATGCAAGCAGCGTGTCAGCGTACTCCACCCAGAGCGGCGAAGAACGCCAGATACGGGCACCCCCGAGCTTAATTATGGCCGCACTCAGTCAGCCCGACCCCTCGCAGCCACTGATTGCGGAATACACTCCGGCGCAGCGGCTGTCTGCCACAGAGAGCGATGAGCCCAATCGTTTGTCTCATGTCAGCGCGACTTCAACATCGTCCCGAGAGGTTGGTATTGCACGATGACGAGTATTTGGTATGGCTATGCCAGGACTTGCCGGACGTTAAATCCCGCATGGACTGCTTCCTTTTGACCGTGTGACAGTCACAGATTAATGACTCTTCATGTTCCCTAATGGCCTCAGACGTATACCACAAGCAAATTTTGTCGACGGACCTTGATACGAACATACCTGCTTTGTAGTTTTGCTTTACCCCTAGTTGGCTGGTATTACTCCTATCACTTGTGATGTACTCATAGAACCGTAATGATCGCGAGTAGCGTAACTACGAACGCAAGGAATCTATGTAATGCTTTGGCTGTGGTCAGCGTGTCTGCGGTGTGGACGAAGCATGAAAGAAGCGCACCTGCTCTACTTTCGCAACAGAGTTTTTGAACTCGTTCACTTCCCGCCAGCAGTCTAGGGTAGTCGTGGGATGTGACCTACAGCAGTCATTCAGATCGGCACTTCATGAAAAGTAGCACAACTGCTCACTTATAGCAGCTGATAACAGCCTCGCTCTTCGCCTGCACCTCCGGGAACTCATGGAGGGCCCTGCGCGTCTGGAACCGCTCGACCTTCTGCCTGAGCTCCTCGAGGTCGCCCATGAGGGCCGCACTGCTCCGCACGCGACCCGTCTCGCCCTCGCTCTCAACAGCATCGGACTCCTCGCCGGCCATGGCGCGCTCGCGGTCGAGGTTCTCCTTCTCGAGTGCGTGCTCGATTTCTTCGCGGACATGCTCTTCCTCCTGGCGCAGGTGTTGGAGCTCGGCCTGGATGCGAGAGCGGATCTGAGCATCGATACTACTCTGACGCTCGGGCGACGGCGCGGGCGAGACAGAGTGGTCAACGAGGTCGTTCACGACATCCTCCGAGAACTAGTAGCGTGTGTCCTGTGATGAGTGCGCGTGTCGTAGGTGGAGAATAGGTAGGAAGCGCACTTGGATGGGGGTCTCGACACGAAAGACCTGCTCGTCAGACTCAGACTTTGAGTGGCTGGCACCCATGGCGAGCACAGAGATGGAGGAGGGAGGTGCACACTTCCAAGTCCGTCGTACCTCTCAAACGACCTCACCGCGTCCGCACCCGATTGACGCTCATTGGCGCTCCTTTTACCGACAATTCGATCGTGCGGGGCCTGCGGGCGACTGTTGCAGAACTGGTCTTAAGTAGCTTCGAACTTAAGAGCAGGCTAATATTCAGAAGAGGTGCATGCTGAGAGTTTTCATTTTTCTATGTTGAATGAACACAGTACTTGACAACAGATTTCTCGAGATGACCAGAAACAGACAGTCATGGAGCAATGTTACCACGTTGCGAAGCGAAGTCACTTTTTCTTGCATAGCTGGTCTTCACAATTGCGTTGTAGTAGTCACGCACGCATATCAGTCGAAAAATGTGGGAGACTGGAGTATAGCTGAAGCAGCTGCAGAACGGGGTTTGAAGATCGCTTTGAACGGTTGAGGATGGCTATATATGACCAGGGTCAGCGCATCCACGAAGTGAAAGCTACACACACGCCTACTCACATCAGGAAGCCAGGCGTGCAATCTCTCTTTGGCTCAATGAGCTTACCGTGCTCATCGACCCCTTTTCCGATATTAAGCGCGGCCAAGACCTGCGCAATGGTAACCCATGTAGACTCCAGTGCGAAGTGTCGTCCGGGACAGATGCGTCGGCCAAAGCCAAAGCAGGCCATAGCATCTGCAGCACCCTCGCTCAACTGCCCATCAGGCGTGATAAAACGCATAGGATCAAAGTTTTCAGGGTTCGGGAATCTTTCTTCGTTGTGAAGCATGGCCCTAACATAATGATTAGCTGAGACCGGTTTAAGAATGTCGTTGAATGGGTACCATGCATTGCCAACAACCATTGAACCTGCCGGGATGTGATATCCCTCGTATTCATCGTCCACCATTGACCTGTGCGATGCCACTAACATACCCAATTCAGTCATCAACGTGCAACGGTCAAGAGCGCCGCAAAGTACCTAGCGGGGTTACCGGACGCCATCTTTCATAACATCAGTTTGGTGAAAGCAGAGCATTGCCATGCAGGCTTACCTGAGAACCTCGTGCATGAGAGCAGAAATGTAGGGCAAAGATTTCCTGTCCTCGAACGTAGGTAGCCGTTCTTTTCCAACCACACGATCAATATGCTCTTGAGCTGTCTTCTGCACTTCTGGATAAAGCACCATGGCGAGTACAAAAAACTCCAGCGCAGATACAGTCTACGTCGGGAATCAGCAACAGCGCCACGAAAAGACAAATGTAACTGTCTAACCGTGTCGGCACCAGCTAACAGTAAGAAAGAGTGAATAAACCGCCAGTTCTCATGCACATAAGCAACGTACCGACGTAAGCCGTGCCAGTAACATGTCGGATCAGATACTCTTCCCTGGAGTTGTCTTTGCCCTCGTCTAGCTTTGACAGCAAAGATGACGTGATGGAAGGAAGTGCGGTCCCGTTCGCCTTAAAATGGTTAACGGCGATGTCAGTAAGACTTCGTCCCACCAGGCGGCGGCACCTACCATGCTGCGCTTAACAAACTGATAGGGCATCTCATATGCTGTCGTGACTGCTGCAGCCCACTCTGCGCCATCACGCTTAAACTGTGCACCGGGGGCCCAGCGCGGCAAATAACGTACTGTCAAGGCACAAGTCAGATAGCACCACTGAGAAAGCGCGAGACAGATAATCACAGGAAGGGACGTAGTCCACTATCAGAATAGTTAGCGGAGGACCGTATATCTTGCGAGCGGGAAAGGCTCACCCATATACGATCCCGGGTTCGTAACCATAGCCATAGCGTGCATCGCTTTCTCCGCCGTGTTCACGTACGGGTCATTCTCTGGCTGCACTTCCATCCCGAACGTTATGCCCAAGATAACTGCAGCGGCCATGCTTGATTCGACAAGAGCTCCATCAGCATGTTTCACATTAATGCCTTCAGCATTTCAGGAGGTTACGTACGTGCGTATACACGGCATGAAATCGCCTTGGCAAGCGAGAAGATGCTGCAAGAGCTTCTTTGATTCGTGAGTCATCTGTTCCTGATACTTGTGCACCATGTTCTGGTTGAAGTGTTGGTGGAACAGCTTCCGATGGGTCCGCCATTCGTCGCCGTAGTGCAGGAAGGCGAAATTTTTGCCCCAGCCGACGCTGTAAGCCAATAAGTGTTTTCACGCGCGCCGCATGAAAAATACGACGCACATGTCATGCAGCATAACCTGATGCTGTCTGCACGGCGCTGTTAGCATATGTTGAGAGAAGCAGAGAGAAGCCCACCGGTCAGAATATATCGTCGACCGCTTCTCAAACAGATCGAGGGCCGCCTTTGCAGAGTTGAGAACGACCACCGGAGCACCAAAGAACCGCAGGAAGATGACATCAGAGTCTGAGGCATGTCGTTTCTTGTTTAGTAATTCTTGCACGAGCCGATGTACACACCATATTGCTTGCCCCACCGCTGGTACGCCACCCACTCACAACCCTCTGCAGGGAGATCCCAGGCATTCCCGACAATGGGCAGGCCTTTCGGCCCAGGTGGCAGACGATATTGCTTGTTTCGTCTAGCATAGTAAGCTACGAGGGTGATGAGACCGACAAGGACAGCTGTAGGGAGCACGTCTGAAAGCTGAGAGGGCATGGTGAGTATCCCGCTGACCATGATAGTAGAAGCGGGGCAGAACTTGTAGGACTCGAAGGAGGTGTGATATACACTGATGTCTTATGTACGGCAGAGCGTCGGTCATGAATCGGCGAGTACCTACGCGAGACTCGTGAGATATCTGGAGCAACCCTGCTCGCTAGGCCAGGGATGTTGCTAGGCTGAGGCGAAAACAAAACTGTCAACGAGGGCTAGCGGTGATGCACGAGGTCATGGCCAGATGCCGACTGGTCAATCCTCAGCCCTTCGGCTCGGCTGTATGTCTCATACGGCAGGACTGTTGGAAGTACGCCGGCACCCTGAGTTCGCGATGCTGTCATGAGCAATCTGCGAATAACCATGAGCGAGCAAGTGTTATGCAGACCTGCCAAATTTGTCTAGCCGCGCGAAGGGTCGCTTTCAGGCACTCCGCTCATCTGACCTTAGACGCGCTCAGCCGACCGGTGTGGGAGCATATCCGTACACGTTGTTGAGCCTTCCCTACAGTGTGAGTGTACATGGAAATCCAAATTGATGTAGATCATGTGTCAAGTCGTGCTAGACACCGCAACACGGCTTAGAACCAGCGGCCACGCCGCAGGCCAAGCTTGTCCAAAACTCCCTTGAGACCTTTCGGCACGAAAGCTTCCACGCCCTTAGTCGGCGGCCGGATATCCACCGACTTGCCAACAATCTCCAGTCTGCGCAGTATGAGCTCGTGGGTTGGCAATATATGAGTAGACTTACTCGTACGCAGGACGACCATCCGCCATCAGCTCCAAGCGGGCGACTGGATGTTGCGGGTCTCGGGTGTCAACCTCGAAGGTGGACCACTTGTAGTTCCCTTCGGGCACATATTTCATCACCTCCTCCTGAGGCACCTCTTCCTCGACGGCCTCAGTGACAATGCTTCCCTCCACCTCCTTCTCCACGTCGACTAGCCGTCTAACCATCTTCTCGCTCCTCTGCCTCAGTGTCCGGACGAGCGGCACCCAGAACATGCTCATCGGGCTCGTTGAGATCTCGACCAGACTATGCCCGTGTCCCTCAGCGTTGAACTTGATCACGGCAAACTCGTGACGATCGCCGGAAAGGAGGACGACGTTCTTGACACTATGCATGGTCGTGAGGAGCGCGTCCTTCTCGTACTGGTAAGGATTCCAGGAATCGACCTCGGCTTCATAGGTCCAAAGTGCCGTGAAGGGTACCGACGTAACGATGAACTTGAAGGTCGCGGTGTGATTAACCTAGACAGTAGCCATATAAGTGTTCCGCTTAGAAGACGGAAGTGCATGAAAGCCATACTCTGTCCAACCAGTCATGTAGAGCTGTCAGCTGCCTCTCGCCTAGCATGGTGCGCGAGACTTCGTCTCCCTGATGGATATCAGAGCGATATCGCCTGGTATCCATAACAAAAAATGCGACGTCTCCGTAGCGGAAATCGTAGTAATGTGCGTCAGGCTCCGGAGGGTCGAAGTTAGCGTTGGCGTTATACAGACGGAAAGCATTGTCGGCGCTCTTGAAAGGTACCGTTGAGTCGTTACCTTGGCCGACATAGTTATTGATGATCTGGAGCTTATCAGCAGACTTATGGGATTGTCAAAGTTCGAACACGTGCCTCGTGGTCGTCGTAAGTGTGGAACATCGCTGTGTAATAGCCCAAGTTCAGATCAATATTATATCCTAAGTGAGCATGAGACTTACGCAGCTTCTCATACACCTTCCGCATGCTCGGGCTTTGATAATTGCGCCTGTACAGTCGCCTGTACGACTCGACATTGTCGCCGAAGTACATTGGCACGTCCGCGTAGATAAAATCTCCTAGGAACAGCATGAACTCAACTGGCGGCTTCCCGCCGTTCTTCGTCGCCACAGCATTGTCGCTTGCATTATTCATCGCGTCCACAGCGGTGGCATTCTCCGGTGTGGGAGTCCGAGGCCAGAGGTAATCCGCAAGAAGATCGTAACCCCTGATCTGTCGGCCATGGAAAGGCACGTACGGGAAGTTCGGTGTCGCACACGACGAAGCTACGAAGCGAAAATACGAGCCTGTTGGGATACGCGGATCGGGGAAGGTGTGGAACGCAATTGGTTCCGCGGGGTATGGGAGCGGAGTCGCTTCAGCGTCGGCGAGGATGTCTAGGGAGGTAAAACTTCAGCAAGAGCAGTTAGGTGATCTGGCACTAGTAGCTTACATTGATAGTTTGTACTTGGCCAAAGGCCGTCCAGGCGAGCAATGTCTACCCAATCGTCCTGGGCTGTGAGATTAAGGACGGGACCCGCGTTCCAGGTAGATTCCTCGGCGGTTGAAGCCTGCCGCCAGAGGATGCGAACTTGGTTCTCGGTCGCATTGGGAGCGTCGAGCGGATAGCGAACGACTAACTTTGCAGAGTCTGGATACACGGCCCCGACACGCGTGAAAACAGTGTCTTTAGCATCATCAATAACAGGATACAAGACGAAGTCAAGGGCGAAGAGGAAGAGCAAGGTATTGATCATGAGGTTGACAAGGTTAAGGAGACGTGCGGGTCCTGGAATGGATAAGAGGACCGTCGTCAGCGGGTCTGACCGCACCTGACAGAGCGATGAGAATCAGAAATATGAGCACAGAGAGCATACGTACCCGCAGCGGAACCTTCTGCACGATAGTGTCTTCTTCCTTCTCCTCCTCAACATCTCCGTTCTCGACACGAAGCCTAATCTTCTCAATATGGGCAACAGCTGTTGTTGATACAGCCGAGATTGTGGGAGTAAGGTATAACGAAGACAAATAGAGCACATAGAGCACAGGGAGAGCTCTTCGCAGGATGGTCGACGGCAACTGCAAAGGAGGGCGATAAGCACTTTCCCTGCAGTTACGGTCATTTTGAGAACTTACCACTCGCAAGAACAGGTATGTACCTATTCTGAACAGAGTAGATAATCCAGCAGTTATAAACACTAGCATATTGTTGTTCCAAAATGGAGAGTCATGCAGCTCGTGAGGACAGTCGTAAAGCATAGGCTGTTAATTTGTCGTGGCCAGCCCTTATATTGGTTGCCGCGAGGTTGGCGGCATAGGGATGATGTCACCTCCGCCAAGACCATCATTTTGATGGACCAATCGAAATTACAAGAAATACGGGGCAAATAATACAAGTACGCTACATCGTCCGCTGTAAGGAGGGAAAGAGGAGACTAGGTTGCGACTGCCTTGGCGGGCTTTCTGATCTTAATGCCCAGTGGGTTCTTCATGTCCGTCTTCCTCTTTTTCACAACCGGCATCGTCGCCACTTTGTTCGCAATCAACGTCCGTGTCGATTCAGGTAGCAGCGCATGTAGGTCTGGCTCGTCATCCCTTGCTTTGCGCTTGACCGTTACCAGCTTCTCCTCCAAACTGGCCTGTGAACTTGACCCCGACCCCGACGCCACGGGGACCACAGGCATGAACACCTTCGAGAACACCTGCCGCACCAACGCCTCGTCCTCCTCTTCAGCCTTCTTCTTCTCCACGTCTTCTTCTGTTTCCATTTCCTCTGCATGTATCCGGTCCAGCAAATCCACAGACTGGCCCACACGCTCGTTCCGTGCGTTGCGCGCCCGAATGTCCTGCAGAGCATCAAGAATATCCATCTCGCGCTTTGAGTCGATCGTCCGATTCTCGAGCGCCTTCATAGGGTTGTTCTCCTCCTCTTCCAGCCTTGCCAGCCGGTCCTCCTCTTTCTCCACCTGCTCCTCTCGCCATGGCTCAAAGTTCCGTGACGCACCGTGTTCGGCGGAGTAGTCAGTGTTCTTTGGGTCTGTCTTGAAAGTGATCTCGGCTGAGCACAGGGTGCTGAATAGCTCGGTCAGGCAACAGTGGATTCACAAAGCTACGAGAATACGTACCACTTGATATAGAACCTGAATATCTTGATACCGTAGTAGTCTTCTCCCTCTACGGTTTCCTTCCGTGCGTTGAACTTCTTGCCCTTGTAAATGTACTCTCCGCAAGTATTACATCGCATAGAGAATGGTGCCATCAAACGGACAACCTGCTGCGAGTTCTTGGGCTGTTTCCTGCGAGGGATGAGAGACGGATCGAAATCCGGGGGAAAGTACTTGTTCAAGACTTGACGAAAGGCGGGGATCAGCTACAATCGTGCAGAGCAGTATTAAAGCAACATACCTTTACGTTCGGACATGGCGGATGTGGGATGAAGTCAGAGGGGAAGGGGTGGTTGACGGTGGTCGTTGGTCAGTAAGGACAGGACCCTGGTGCTTCGTAAAGTCGGTAGCTGCCGAAAGTCACGTGGCGGGGACATAACCGGCGCCTTCCAATCTAGGCCTCGTCGCCGGACACCGTCTGTTATGATGAGCACGCTGCAATTCTGGAAGCCCGGTGCCGCAGGGCCTGGCAGTTCTCTCGACAGGGCGACGGAGACGGAGGAGAGCGTCGTGCCTTCTGCGCCGTCATCGGGCGCCATCTCGATACAGGCGGCGAGGGAACGCTTGCCGATATTCAAACATAGTGAGTATCCGTCTGAGCTCGACGCGATGTATGGTCTAAATGCGCGCGTATGTTAGAGGAGAGATTGCTGTATTGTATTGAAAGGTATGGCGTTGTAATCCTGGTTGGGCAGACTGGGAGTGGGAAAACTACTCGTGCGCGTGCCTCCGTTGTGGTATTGGCCATCCTCTCACGTACACTTGTAGAATTGCCGCAATTTTTGTACGAAACCGGTTGGGCTGCCGAAGGAAATGTCATCGCCTGCACCCAGCCACGGCGGGTCTCTGCCACTTCCGTCGCTAATCGTGTTGCGACCGAGGTGGGCACCATACTCGGAGAAGAGGTAAGTGTCTCCGTACTTGACTGCTTATGCGTCTGCAATTCTGTTTGCCAGGTTGGATACACTATTCGCTTCGAAGACGTCAGCGACAAGCACAAGACTCGTGTGATCTACCTCACGGATGGCATGTTATTCCGTGAGACTCTTGTCGACCCCCTACTGAGCCGCTACAGCGTCATAATGGTATGCACTTTTCCACATTATCGCTGTCCTGTTCTGATCCTAACGCAGACGTGACAAGATCGACGAGGCACATGAACGGAGCATATACACTGACCTGCTTCTTGGCATACTTAAGAAGTACGGTCACCATACCGTTATACGCGGCTTAAGCTAACCGGTGAACAGAATAAGGCGGAAGCGTCCTTCCCTCAGGATCATTGTATCATCCGCCACGCTGGACGCCACAGGTTTCAAAGACTATTTCTGTGCGGGTAACTTACCGGACGAAGCAACCATCGTCAGCTTAGAAGGTCGGATGTATCCTGTAGAGGTCGCGTACCTCCAGGAGCCAGCTGCGGATTATGTTCGCAAAGCTGCAGAGACTGTGTGGAATATACACATGCAGGTGTGTTTTCCCTGACATGCATGGTAGAGCTGGCGAGTTACGCACCTATATTCAGCAAAGCCCAGGGGACATTTTGGTCTTCCTTACAGGACGTGACGAAATCGAACGTTGCCTAGAGGAGCTGTCGGAATATCTCCCGACGTACGTCGCCTGCATATCGTTTAAGACACCTTACCCAACATTTACAGGTTACCTCGTCATGCGCCGCGGCTGAAGATTCTGGCTCTTCATGCTGGACTCACGACCGATGAGCAACTCGCTGTCTTCGAGCCGGCAGAGCGCGGCACGCGGAAAGTCATCATATCTACTAATATCGCAGAAGTATGTCTCGTATCTTGGTTCTCTTTCATGCTTCTCATTCATATTCCAGGCTAGTGTCACCATCGACGGTATCAAGTTCGTTGTTGATTCAGGCTTCGTTAAGGTGCGCGTGTCAATCACGATATCCACATTGCCCATCCGCTGAGCCATACGCAAGATTCGTATCTACAATTCCACCTCCGCCCTGTCTTCTCTCGCCACTGTCCCTGTCTCGCTTGCCTCTGCTACCCAACGAGCTGGGCGTGCTGGTCGCACGTCCTCAGGAATCTGTTACCGGCTCTATCCCGAACTTGCTCTTAAGTCCATGCCCACAACGACGCCCCCGGAAATTACCCGCACAGATCTCACAACCCCAATTCTGCAGCTCAAGTCGTTGGGCATCGATGATCTGATGAGGTTTGAGTGGGTTACAGGCCCGCCCGCTGAGGCCGTGCTACGTGCGCTTGAAAACCTTGTCGCTGCGGGAATGGTAGGTGAGGACGGAAGGCTGACAGTGACTGGGGAGAAGGTTGCTGAGTGTCCGGTGGAAGTGAATATTGCAAGGATGGTAGGCCCAGCTTATTTGGATGCTACAGCGTAGAGGCTCATATCTGGGTAGCTGTTCGCATCAAAGGAGCACCAGTGTGGGGAGGAGATGTTGACCATCGCAGCCATGACGACTATCCAGGACGTCTTCATCATTCCTGAGGGTGCCGCCGGTGCGCTTGCAGAACTCGAGCGTCGCAAATTCACAGCCGAGGAAGGGGTGCGTCTCGGTTTTCTTCGCCGTCTTTATTGCCGCGCTCACTGCCCCTGCAGGACCATCTGACGCTCCTGAACGCCTACAATGCCTTCACGCGCTACGGGCGAGCGGCATCGTGGTGTAAAGCACACGCGCTCTCCTTCCGCGCAATGTCCCGTGCGGTGTCTATTCGTGCACAGCTCAAGAAGTACATGCAGCGTTTCGGACTCCCGCTCGAGAGCTGTCAGGGCGATGCACGCCGTCTGTGCCAGTGCCTTGTCAGCGGCTACTGGCGCAACGGCGCGAGGTGGGTCGCCGATGGCACGTACCGGTCCGTGCGGGGCAATGTGGTGAGTGTCCGCAGTCTTATAATCGGCAATAGGGAGAAGGTTGATAGAGTGTGCCCTGTAGACGCTGCATGTGCATCCGAATTCGGTGCTGTTCACCAGGAAACCGCGGTCTGAATGGGTGGTTTTTCATGAGATGGAGGAGACAAAGAAGACTCAGTAAGTGCGTAGCCGCCTGATCTCTGAAGCGGGCTCATCAAAATGGTAGGATACGGATCTTAACAGAAATTGATCCTGAATGGTGCGTCGTCTTTGCAATCAACCTTAATATCTCACTGACTTGTCACCGTAGGCTCTTGAAGTACGGACACTCATTCCGAGACAAACATTCTGGAGCTGCTGTATTATGATCCCTCTTCAGGTTATTCCCTGCAGCTAAGTTGAAGTTTGTGTAGTGGCTGAATCATGCGTGAAAACTGCAAAACTCACCCCTTTCATGCGTTGCTCATCGCTTACTACTCTGTTAGCGCGTTTAAGTGTCGTCCACGGCCACGTCTGCCCGTAGACCGTCAGGCACAAACTCGGTTCATAGTCACCGTGATGCATGAGGATCAGATCAGGTGCTTGATAGATCATCGAGTTAACCAGTCCATGCTTTGGAGCCTGATGTAGCCACCGCCTCCGCGACATATGTGATTTCTTCCAGCCTATATTATAAGCCAGTGCAGGAAGATGAACGCACTTGCTACCCCCGAGTCTTTGGCATGGAGACACTACTGCTCGGCGGCCTTGTAGCTGCCCTCGTTGTGCTATCAGGCTGCTATATTCGGAGAAGACGACACTGTTTCCCTCCTGGCCCAAAGGGACTACCGATTGTTGGGAATATGTTGGATATCCCTCGCAATGGCCGCGGATGGTTGACGTACGAGCAGTGGGGCCGCGAATACAGTATGTGATCTCTCCGCTGTATAACGATAAGAGCTTATGCACTCGACATGCGTTGCTGCAGATTCGGACGTCGTCTACCTGCGCCTTTTTGGTATCTCCGTGGTTGTTCTCAATTCGGCTAAAGCAACGTCTGAGCTGCTTGCAAAACGGTCGTCCATATATTCTGACAGGTGCGGTGATGTGTTCTTAGTTGTCGGGGAAGAATACATTCTCATAGATTGCAATATAGGCAGCACTTAGCCATGCTTCACGACTTGTAAGCATCTGCTTGATTGTCACGTAGTTGGCCGCAGAATGAAGTGCACTCATCTTGCTCTAGCGTCGGCTGGGGCAAGGCCCTTGTCTTCTCAAGCTATGGCGATGACTGGCGGGAGCATCACCGTCTCTTCCACCACTGCTTCCACAGCCGAGCGACTCAAAATTACCACCCCAAGATGTCAAAGGAGGCCAGAAAGCTCCTCCATCGCCTCCTCGCCACCGACGACTTCATAAAAAGTTTTCGTGTGTGGGTACTGTCGGTAGTTGACCTTGCTCCTCGAGGCTGATTGAGAATTCGCTGTAGATGGACCGCGGCAGTGATATTGGGCGTCACGTATGGGATGGAAATCAAAGACCACGATGACCCGTATGTGCTTCTAGCAGAAAAGGCCATACGTTCGATAGTGGCAGTCGCCATGCCGGGGTCGTACATGGGTAGGCCACTTCTTACTCACTCCCTTGAGGAAGGTTCATAACATTTTATAGTTGACTATATGCCGTTTAGTAAGTCCGGTGCTTACTTTCCGGGCCCGCATTAATATGAACGCAGTGCGTTACATACCGTCGTGGGCTCCTGGAGGTCAGTTCAAACGAGAGGCGGCGGAATGGAACAAGATTGTCTCTGCCATGTATACCAAGCCACTTGAGTTTGTTAAGAGAACTCTGGTAAAAACTAGTTTCCTCCACAATCCGTGGGATGCTGACATGATCTGCAACGACAGAAGCAAGGAACTGCGCCAGCCTCCATTGCCACAACGTTGCTAGATAAGCTCGACGGAAGTGAAGACAACTCGAGGCGCGAGCGCCTCATCCGTAACGTTACGGGATCAGCGTACGTTGGTGAGCTTCCTGATCGGCTTCTGAACGCGACACCGCTGACAGCTTGTGGCTGAAGCCGCTGCTGACACGGTGAGTTCGTAGAGCTGTTGTATCTCATCTGGTGACCTAAATCTCTACTTAGACGGTTTCGGCCCTTGGGACATTCATACTCGCCATGCTCACGAATCCTGCTATACAGAAAGCAGCTCAGGAACAGATCGACCGTGTCGTCGGACGCCACTGCGTCCCAGAGTTTGTAGATCGCAATTTCTTGCCCTACATCACTGCAATCCTCTATGAGGTCCTCAGGTGCGTCGTGTTCTTTGTTGCAGTAAATAATCCTGCCACTAAATCCACCGAATTCAGGTGGCGGCCCGTGGCTCCATTAGGTAGGCGCACAATTCGTATGTCTCTGTTGGAAGCGAAGTTCTCATGCTATACAACATATCAAGGCGTTCCACACCGACTGGTGGTGGATGACGAATACAACGGTTACCATATTCCAGCGGGTGCCGTAGTGGTTGGCAATGCATGGTCTGACACTTGAATTACATCGCCTTCCTGTTGACGCTCATCTCTGTCTTTACAGGGCAATCCTCCATGATCCAGTGCGCTTCCCAAATCCTGAGACGTTTGACCCCACACGCTGGCTCATACCGTCCGGACACCTCAGTGAAACGATGTCGGATGCAATGGCCGCCTTCGGCTTCGGCAGGCGCATTTGTCCTGGGAGGCACTTTGCCATGGAGTCTATGTGGATAGCGATGGCACATATTCTGGCGGTGTATAATATCGAGAAACCTGTCGACGACTTTGGGAGAGTTATTGAGCCAAGTGGGGATTATACATCCGGGTTCCTCACGTAAGCCCGGTTCCCGAGGGTGAATATCTGACCACTCACGCGAACATTTTGCTAGTTACCCGTTACCATTCAAAGCGGTCTTCAAGCCTCGGTCCGCGGCCGCCCTCGACCTCATTCAGTTGGAATATGACGATTGACCCGTCGCGTACACTGTCATCGACTGAAAGAGCAGCTATACTATCCACATACTCCATGGACGAAACCCTATCACACATTGATAATGTCCTAGCTACTACTGATATCGCTATTTATTGTCTCTTTCGAGAATTGCTGTTGCACTCGCCGATAGTGCCCCATCTCCGCCTGACTGACGCTGGGTACCAGATTGCGTAGCGCCTCATCGAAGTCCGCTTGCGTGACGAGCACCTCGATGTCCTCGTGCATCGCTATCTCCGCCAAGTAGTACTGAGGCGTCAACGGCCGAGGATGTTTCGAATCCACGATGTCCTCGTTGAGTCGGGCTGCATAAAACTAGCATTGGTAAACATAACAGAGAGTGATGAAAGATACGTACCTATCTTTGAATCAAGCTCTTCAGCCTTGCGTGACATCGCTTTGAGCAGCGCATCAGAACAAAGGGCGTAAAGGTCCGCTCCGGTGTAGTGAAATGGACACGCCTCGGAGACACTCTCGAGATTCAGATCCGGGTGCAGCTTGAATTTGCGCGTGAGTGCCTGCAGGATATTAAGCTGCGCCTCGTGTGTCTGAGATACACCGAGATAGAGCATACGATCAAACCTATGTGCATCGTCTCAGCGCGGTTTTTCGAAGGAGTGGCGGGCAGAACTGACCGTCCCGGACGCAGTAATGCGGAATCCAGCAAATCGGGCCTATTTGTTGCCCCAATGACAAACACGTCTGCCCCTGCCTCACCACCCGCAATACCATCTAGCTCCGCCAATAGCTGACTAACAATGCGGTCCATGACACCACCTGAGTCGCCATGGTTACCACGCTTGGGTGCGACACTGTCGAGCTCGTCGAAGAAAATTACACACGGCTTCGCGTCGCGAGCCCGTTGAAAGACCCGACGGACATTCGCTTCGCTCTCACCAATGTACATATTGAGCAGTTCGGGACCTTTCACGCTGAAGAAATTGAGTGCGCACGAAGTAGCGACTGCCTTTGCGAGGAGTGTCTTGCCGGTACCAGGTGGGCCGTAGAGTAGGATGCCTGCCGTCTGGGTGAGTGTAGATTGTGAACATATGGTAAAAGACCTACCGGAGCGTTTCTTCATTCCACCGGCAAATAGTTCTGGGAGCTCGAGTGGAAGTTGGATGGTATCGAGAATGTCCGCCTTCACGTGTGCGAGACCACCGACATCGTCCCATGTCACATTAGGAATTTTAGGCGCGCCAATGCTCTCCGAGTACGACCTTCGCGCCTTGGCCAGGGCAGTCTCAAGGTCGTGTACATTCAGGCTAACGCCCGCGGCGTATAGTGCAAGGGCGCTGAAAGAGCTACACATAGGTTGATTGAAAGGATGGACAGCAGCAGGATGAAAGACATACGAGGCGGGCGCAGCGCGTGCCAGGTATACTTGTTCACTGCGAGCCACAAGGTCGGCGAGATCAGAGGGAACCAGGGCCGCAGTTTGAACGGCCAAATCGTGCAAAGATACATCTGGTGCGAGCGACGTTTGGGACAATAACGATCGTAACACGTTATCACGCTCTGCTTCGTCTGGTGCCTATACTCACATGAGCCCCGATAGGGTAAGCAGAGTTTGTCGGTGACATACCCCGAATTGGACCTGATGCTTAAAGCATGAGATGAGCTTTGATGAGGTCTGTTCGTGGTGGTCCGTGGTGGCAACCACTACCGTCGGGTATCCTGACAGATTCCATGCTTGTTGAAGCGACTCAGTGCATTCCGTAATGACATCCGCAAATATGAGTCCTAGTCATTTCAGTTCAGAAAGGATCAAAGCGAAACTAGAGCAGCGAGACACCTTTTCCAGCTTCTGAAGGCTGTGTTGTTTGGCTCAGAGCGTCGACGTGCCGGAGCACAAGAACGCAAGGCGCACACGAGGCAGCCTTTTCGAACCGTATGCGCAACGTTCCCTCCGTTTGGACGTCGTTCTCGCCTATCAAACGGTAGCAATTAACCTAAATGTACATCAGTAATGCAACATAATCAGAGCGGTCAAGTTTAAGTCTACCTCAAGAATGTGTAAGCCCAGCTGGGCTGCAACAGCTCGGATAGTGGACATCTTGCCACTACCGCGCACGCCCTCCAGCAACACTGAAAGCTGCAACCGGTAACCGGCCGCGCCCTGTGTTAAGGCCGCAGCAATGAGCGTGCGTAGCTTCTTGAAGGGTGTAGTTTCTGTGTGCTCTGAACAATTTTGTCAGGCATACATATGTACAGCATGTACAAGGCCATACTAAGAGATTCTACGCCCTGCAGAACGGGTATCCGGGATTGCTCAATCCCGGTTTGTATGATCTGTGTCTGAGAATGGTCTACCCAGCAACCCCATTCACCAAGCTGTGAGCCGCAAAAACCATCGAGTGGGACGTCGGCAGGGATGCTGTGCTCAATATTTGTGATTTTGAAGTAGACTAGCTCATTTGGCACGTCCATTACGTCACTGGAGTTCAATTCAGCTATCAAGTATCAGCATCGTGAGTGTACACGCACTGGAGATATGCTACGTCTACGTCTTCAGAATCTTGAACGCTTTCATCAGACTGACCAAACGTCCATGTCTGGCGTACATCATCCGTGTTCAGCGGAAGTGCAATAATATCACCTTGCTTCACAAGCCGACGCCGTGGCAAAAAGTACCGGTGCAAAGCTTGCAAGAAGCTGTTCTGATACCCGCGGTCGGTTGATATCGGCGACGAGACTCTCGCGATGGTGACGGTGTTTGCAAGCGGTATTGGCGGTGTATTGGAACCAAATGGTGTCGGGCGAAGGAAAACTTCGGGCGCGACTAGTTTCAAAGTCATTTGTGCGACGTTATGTATGAGTGTCGGGGTAGCATAGATGAAGCCGCTATACTGCTGGTCGGCGTCAGACGAAGGACATCGGCGGTAGACTCACGACGGCACCTGGCGAGACTCGTTGGCCAGCAATCGAACCAATCGTTGACTGCGCTCACTGCGCGATCCAACTAGCACCTGAGATATGTTTGGCTCGTCAAGCTGTTCCAATATTGCTGCAGCACATACCCAGTCGCCGTTTAGTGCACCAATTCGGCTCAGGTCATGGGGTGACGCATACACAGCACATTCGTCGTCGAAGCAGCTGTGAGGAGCAGGCGATAAAAACCAATGCCATCCTGAAGCGATATCATGTCAGGCGCGGAGCACGCGACAACAGTACTGACTGACCTTCAGGTGAGACGTGACTTTGAGATACGGGTGAGATGATGGCGTTGCCGAGAAATGACTCATCAATCTCAAGCCGCTCTTCCTCGTCAACTGGGGACGGTGCTTGGCGTGGGCTTATGGCCAGTGCAGCGTCCGGAGCTATGATGGAGAGCAGCGTGAATCCTTCCTTTAAGAACCCCTGCTGCACCGGTCCAGTAAGCTTCACGAGGTATTCATGAGGGCCATTAGGGGTTATCGCTGGCTCCAGCACATCCCTATCATCGATTGTAGATTGTACTGAAGTGGGGAAGGCATATATGTCTCCCTGACGGAGGGTATTAGAGGAGAGCCAAACGAAAAAGCTGGTCGCGTCGCGTCTGGCGAAATCATATGCGTCGGGCGAAAGAGCTTGGAAAATGACTTCATGGAGGCATATTCGAGCTGTCTCTGGATTGTCATCCAGTCTATGTTGGAAGAGAAAGCCCATAGAGGCGGTCGACAGTTTGGAGAGCGTCCAGGAATTGGTCACTCTGTGCCGCTGTGCCGTCTGTGCCGATTAGTGTTGCGTCAGAAAGGTCGGTGTAGCGGAATGTACGGTAGCAACGTCACGCGTCACACACCACTACCCGCGTTTCTTATCTGGCTTAATGTCACGCGTCACACACCACTACCCGCGTTTCTTATCTGGCTTAATGTCACGCGTCACAGCCAGTTGGTTGCTAGTTTCTGTGCAAGCTTGCACCTGCGGCGCCGCCGCCGTTAGGCGGCGGTTTCTTTCTTATTAGGCCTTAGGTCACAAGTCACACATGGCCAGTTGCCCATTGCAAAGTGTCACATTTCACCCTTAGTTGCTACCATACATTCCTCTACAGTACATATAAGTAAGTAAGTAGGTAAATTACTGTAAATTACATTATTTACAGTGAGGCCCAGACAGGAGGTGTAAGAAAGTGTCAAAAACTCCCCAAATGACCAGAGCCCACTGTGCAGCGCTAGTGGAGAAAACACACTCAGGCAGAGAGAGACATACACGTTGTCATAAAGAAAAGGTTAGAATAAGAAAAGTAAGTAAAATAAAATGAGGCTTGGTATAAGAAAGATTCTAGGAGAATCCTAGAAGGTTAATTCTTGATAAAAGGGAATGGAGTTTGGTCTGAAGTTCTAAACTAAAAGCAAGAAGGGTATAGTATGGAATACTTAGATTTGGTTTTTCCAATCTTTTCTTTCCAGGGTTCACTGGATTAGCCTTTCAACCAAGCTATCCTGGTGTTTGTGGGGGACTAATTTGAAGACCACCTACTAATCTGCTTGAGTACTCTAAAGCCTCACTTGCCTGTTTACAAGGGACTTTTAAGAAATCTTAGAAGATGGGCTGTAAGAAGGTTTGGTTAGTAGCTTAAGGACTAGCTACTTGGGTTAGTAGAATAGGGTTTTTAAATAAGTAAAATAAGAGGGTAACAAAGACAAGTTAATGTTTTAGTTAACTTAGTAAGCTTTGGCTAGTAAGGACAATTTAATGTTCTTAGAGAATTTGTATAACTTAAAGCAGTCTGAAGCTTCTAATTTAGAGCTGAAGATCAAGAATAGATTTAATCTCTTTACTGCTAGTCTAATTACTGTAAGCTCTACAGGAGACGTACTACAGTCTCAAATAATGATGCCACTAGCTCACGCAGTCTAGGGTTAGTCAAATAGTGAACTTGTGCACTATACCAAGGGTGTTTCCCTTCAGTTATTTGAAAGTCAGAGGCTTTACTGTGCTTAAGGAATTTCCTAGGCTTTAAAGAAAGGAGTCTATTCTCTAAGAGCT